GCTTGCTCTCTAGATGTAATTAGTTCTTAGAGAGTATGTTTATGGATAAAAAGGCACTGCTTTTTTACCACCGTTTGTCTATCTCAAAAACGTTGCGTGTGTGTGGAAACAAAGGACACATAAGACACACTGCTAGAATCTGCCAGCAGTATAAAGTGGTATTGAAGGATTAATCAGAACATTGATGTGATAAGAAGACCTTTCTTTCACTTAGTTGACTATTTCAGGCAATGAGTCCATGCTGCAGGGTGATAAGACAAATAACAAACACCTACAAACCAGAACATATTAATAGAGCCACTGAGACAGCCCTTGAAATGATTATCTATCTGCATTACGGAAACCTGTGACATTTTTACAATCTAACAGTGGAAAATCATATTATTCTATTATATAATTTTAAAAATAGATATTGCATTAAACAGTTGACAATAGTGTATTTTGCAAATTTGTACAGTGGATGCATGGTATAAAACAAACTGTTGGAAAAAGTCAGGCTCACTCGGAAATTTTAGTGTAAAGCATATAGCATGTTATGGCATCTTCTTTTAAAACATATTTGCATATCAGACTGATCCCACCTGTAACGCTATAACCCAACACGCAGAATGTAAATCCACCAGAAGAAACATAGACAGATAGAAGGTCCCTAAACTGGTCCTTAGAATGGCTGGATAGATAGAATAAAAATTAAAGGAAAGTCAGAACAAGCCAAGGTCAAGGGAGCCAGAAATCAGAGTAGTCGAGAGCAAGCCGAGTCAATACCAAGATATTACAAAACAGACAAAAGAACGCACTATTGGGACACTAGGAACACTAGGAACCACAACAGGGCACTGTGCCTTGGGCAGACTAAGATCGTATATGTATCGGGGCTTGGTTAGCATAACCACATCCCCAAAAGGTGCGAGTGTGCTGAGCTCTATTGTTTAGAACTCTTCTGACGTTATGATGCTGGCACACGTGCCCCGCGTTATAAAAAGGGCTGGACGCACAATGGAGCCTCATGCTGTGTGGGAGCGGCGGTCCGCCGTATCAGCGCATCGGCCGATCGGCGGACCACAAGGGTAAGTATAGAGGGTCTGACACCACCAAGATGGGCTTCCATTGGTTTATCACTAAAGTGAGAATTCAAGGTGAATTCAAAGTAAATTTTAAATTTTAGGTCAAAATAGCTGAACTGATCTAATTCTTTAAGTCAGCTATGCTTTCAGCTCGGCTACTTTGGCCTTGAATTTGAACTTTTCATAGAATTTACTTTTAATTCTCACTTTAGTAAATAACCTTGGCAGTATATTAGCTAGTGGATTCTAAGGCAATCTGGGTAGATTTATGAAAGTTTCACAGACTCTTTTTTTTAGTAATTCTGGTAGTTTAGTTTAGATCAGGTAAGGGCACAGGGAAGCAGCTCCTTCTGGGTATCTTCAAACCAATATGGTGGTGAGTCAGTATGGAAAATATGAGTACAGAAAACAGAATATGGTGTAATATATTCTATAGGTGGTGAGGTAAAATGAGAGAAATGCCACTTACAAGTGTCTGGAACTTATGTCCAGCTCCAGAAATACAGGCCTGGGCAGTATGAACCCCGCCTGTGGATATGTCGCTCAGTTTGGTACCTTGTAGATGGTAGGTCAGGGTCAAGGACCAGTTAAAGTGTCAGGAGTTCACGGGTATTTCCATCCAAATTGCAATGTCACAGATATTTACCAATTATATGTGTAGGGTATGATGTTTCCTTCCCACCAAGGAGGTAAAAAGTGTGGCTCCTCCGGATAAAATATTCAGGGATAAAATCAGGAAGGTCCAGGTAAGGTAAAAAATGTGTTTTATTTCAAACAAAGATAGTGACACCAATGACGTAAAAACACACGCGTTTCACCCAAAAGGGCTTTTTTTTTTTTATAATTGGCGGCAGAAACACTTCCCTGGCTGTCAATCACAGAGGTTTTCTTACTACTTCGGTAGCCACACATTGCTAGCAGAAATGGCAGGTGAGCTGTGCTATAGCATACCTGCCTATAACTTACAGCTCATTGAGAAGAATAGGAAACCTGTGAGCCGCAAGTCCTATAGCAACCTATGTAGCATCCTATATAGCGTTACTCAATATATATATATTACTCTATTTAACAACAAATACTGAAAAGAATGTCTCTTAGTAGCAAGGGAGCCACATAAAAGGGAAATATAGAGAGTTCAATGCAGAATAGTATAATTGAAAGAAAATCACAAATGGCAAAATAATGGCACTAGAGGTCAGAATTTTCGACAACGTTTAGACCATTTTTAGAATCCTTTAATACATATGTACAGATTACATACCATTATAAATAACAATACATGTTTTAGATCACTTTGATAAATCTCCTGTGTCTCTATTTTTTACTTGTTCCATTTCAACCTATACCTGGCATGGTTTTGATCATTTTGTAATCCTTACATTAATAAGGATGTGGATCAAGATGTATAAGTGAAGTAAGATGACTGAAGCAGAGGACAGCTTATCTTCTTCTAAAATAATAGTATAGAGCAACACAGGTCAGTACTTGCTCCTGAATCTGAATCTAGCTGCAGCAAGAGTTTTAAAGAAACACTATAGTGTTAGGAATACAAAGCTGTATTCCTAACACTATAGTGCCCCCCTGGCTCCCTCTCTGTGGCAATGAAATCGTTAAACAATATATATTTTTTCACTTGCCTTATCAATCCGTCATCAAGCTCCCTCTGCACTGTCTCTGTCTCCTCCGACATCACTGCGAGGGAGGGTGGGGGGAATCTAATGCACATGCACACTAAGCGGCGCCCTTTAGGCCTTCCCCATAGGAAAGCATTAAATAAATGCTTTCCTGTGGAGATTTTGAACTACCCAAAGAGCTTGCCTAAAAAATATTCTATAGTTTATTTTTAAAAAGACATGGATATTAATTAAGGAATGTGTATGTACAGGTTGTTGATCCAATGAGGACTCTGATTGTCATTATGGAGTGACAAAGAGTATATCCCAACTTTTTGTGGCAAATTTAAAATAGTTGCATGGGGGTGGGGGGGGGGACTTTGTTTTGGGTCAACAAAATAAAGGAATTAATTTTAAAGATTAAACTTGATGGACTTGAGTTTTTTCAACTTACATTAGTATGTAACTATATTAAAAAGAATAATTTGTATCACATGTCCTAAATTACAGCATTAATATGAGTATTTGAACAGTCGAGGCAAAGAGATTGTGAGGTAGGCCCGGCGTCTCCACTGCTGGTTAGTGTGTTGTTCCAACATCTTGACTCTACTAAATGTTGGATTATTACAACCATTTTGGGGAGGGGGTTTAGGTTCGCTTTTCTACAATGAATTATTAACACAGGTACCAATAGTGAATTAAATATGTAGGGCTATGGCAATACCCTATCTTACCTCACAGGAATAAGAGTTGTGTTGATGCTCAAAGGCAGCAAACCAGAAAAAGTTCTGTAGTGGGATTAAAAGATGGCTGGTTAAAACGGTGAGACACATACAAAACGTAAACATACACATTAATGCTCTAAATCTGCACATTCATTTCACAGTAATGATTTTATATCCTGTATTTGGTGCTTACAGAGAATGTCAGGAATCACCTGACAGACGAGAGACCAGATTCAAAAATGGCGAGACGCAGGTTAACATTATTAAATGATGTATATTTTTAGACAATAAGCCAAACAAGCAGATGGTCACACTGTTTATGGAAGGTTTTACAAATGGGTTTTAAATCACTTCATCACTTCGAAGGGTCACTTCAGATACCAACGCAAGTCAGGTGCAGTTTATAGGTTGGGTCACACATAATTGTGCTTGGTGGATTTATTTTATTAACCTCTTTTTTTTTCTAATTAGTACATATTTGTTCTGTAATCTAAGTCCCTTTCTTTGATTTTGTGGCATGTCTCTCAACATTTTAAATGAAAAAAGAGGGACACTTTAATTTTAGGCGATGTGGCCTGGGGCCGGGCTGTTCCAAGAAATGTCATGTTTGTACTACTAAAATGCATTTTAGAACAATAACAATGTCTCTTATTTACACAGACTGACTTCTAAAACATTTATTGTAGTTTAAAAATATTACTGTGAGTGTTATTGCTGTGGAACTTCATTAAGCACACAGACACACCAAGAATATGGAGATAATCGAAAAACGGGATATTAGAACAGAAAGGAGGGACATGGGAGGTTTTAGCCAAAGTAATTACTGTCCCTCATAAATAGGGACACTTGGTAGGTATTCTGTAGTGTTTTCTTATTTGTACCAAAGATATTGCTTTAAATGCTTAGAGATTGTAAGCTCTTGTGAACAAGGTTCTCTTCACCTATCGTGACTTTTATTTGTGACAATTAATATATATTCCCTCTGTATGAATGTTAAGTTATGTGGGATAAGATGGCCATTTATAAATGGCAATAATAATAATAATAATAATAATAATGTGAATATCAGTACATTTGTTTGCTTTCTACAGCAGGAAGCTGATAATGGAACTACAACTCCCAGAAACCCATGCTGAATGCATACATCAATGCTTCTGGGAAAAGCTCTGAAAAAGTGTAGTAAACTTCCTGATCTGCTGAGAACTCTTTGCAAATCCTGCACAGTTTAGAGTTCAATAGGAAATACAGGAACATCAAACATGAGTATCTTTTATTATTCAGAATCTTTTCAATTTTTAGGGGGGAAACAAATCCACATATTTGTATTGAAAAACATCTTTGTGACGCATTAAAAAATAATGAGTCAAACTTTCCATAGAGTATCGCTTTAAAGTTCCAGGTTGTAAGAAAGTTAGGAATCCACTTTCTGTTTTCCAGACTTGTCATTTTGTTATAGATAAGGAAACATGTTAGAAGTATAGAGAACCTTGTGCCTTGTCACAGTTTTTGATAGTTATACTTAGTTCTTGAGAATGAACCTGGATCATATAGATTAATTTACCAGCTGTCTTTTTTATTTTAATCACGTAATGAAGTCAGTGAGTTGGTATGGGGAATGTGTATTCTGTTGTAAGGTACGCAGTGAAGCAATGTTTTCAATATATCAAGTTTTCACCATTGGGTGTGGTATATCTTGTTTTCATCTGAGTATTTTTTTTTTCATTTCAGGAATGGATAGAATAAAAAGGTATTTGATTTTTATGTGTATTACTGATTTTGATTTAGTTTACATAATTTATAAATTTGTTTATTGCATGAAGTGAGGGAGATGAATCAAATAGGCTGCTAGCAGACCTCTCAGTAGTCCCGAGTTTGAAGAGACAGTCCTGATTCCTCCTGTCCCACAGTCCCGGGTTTGCTCCCTCTTATTCCGTTTTTGTGGACACCAGGGAACTGTACCCAGAAAGCGTAGCGCAAACTCACGATTAGACTTTGTCATCTCCCTGGGCTGGTTTCATTGAAAGGTTGACTAAGCATATATTTGCTTGTCTTTTAATCTTGATTGACAGGCAGTGTTTTCTTTCAAATATATAGATTATTGTCAACTGAGTAGCTGTTCAGTGTTACACCGATAACTACCCATGATCGTCAGCATAATACTGTGCAAATAAAGTGATTTTCTCTTCTCAATCATTGTGTCTCTGTGACATTTAACACCAGACTATAACAGTGACACAACAAAACGCGCACACAATGCCTGGTGACTGGGAACCCCTTAAAGGACCACTATTGTGCCAGGAAAACTTGTTTTCCTGGCACTATAGGGTTATTAAGTCCCCCCCACCCTCATGCTGGGCTGAAGGGGTTAAAACCAAATGTTAAAACCCCTTCAGTAGTGATGTCTCGAATGGTTCGCGAACGGTTAGCCACAAACGGTTCGCCACGGACTCATCATTGAGTAAACTTTGACCCTGTACCTCACAGTCAGCAGACACATTCCAGCCAATCAGCAGCAGACCCTCCCTCCCAGACCCTCCCACCTCCTGGACAGCATCCATTTTACATTAATTGTGAAGCTGCATTCTTAGTGAGCTGTCCAGGAGGTGGGAGGGTCTGGGAGGGAGGGTCTGCTGCTGATTGGCTGGAATGTGTCTGCTGACTGTGAGGTACAGGGTCAAAGTTTACTCAATGATGAGTCCATGGCGAACCGTTCGCGAAGCGTTCGGTGAACCGTTCGGGACATCACTACCCTTCAGCCACTTACCTTTCTCCAGCGCCGGGCCCCCTCGGCGCTGGTGATCTCTCCTTCTCCAGCCGACGTCAGCGCCACATGCACGGCAAGAGCCACGCACGCATTCAAACCGCCCATAGGAAAGCACTACTCATTGCTTTCCTATGGACGTCCAGCGTCTTCTCACTTTGATTGAAGTGGTCTGGGTGCCTATAGTGGTCCTTTAAGTGAACATAAAAGAAACAAGGAAAATAAAACCAATTTGTAAAATGGCTCCTATTATTTCTGCATCTAGGGGGACATGTACCATGCCAACATTGACTCTGGCACAGATGCAAGAGAGGTCTCCATGTGTGGTTGGGAATATTGTTTTAATTTTTTGTTTGGTCTAACTAGAGGCAGGGCTGACCAGAAAATCTTGAATCCAATTTTTATTAATTAATCAAATAGTAAACGTTTGACAAACTCCATAACAAATATATTAACAGATAAGACATTTTACTATGTTTGCTACACTTACATTAAAATATTTGGTAATGCGCACTTTAAAAAAGCTAAAGTGTTATTTTGTGCAAGCATTTTTCTTTACTATTCACAAAAGCACAATTAGAATTTAGATTTTTCAAAGCTGAATTATAAAACTGAGCCTTACAAAACTGGTGCACAGATAGTCTGCGAGGGAAAAGCCAGTGATTATGATTTTAATAAAATGGTGCTAATTTTGCAGAAATTGCAATGGAAAATAATTTGAACAGGTGCGATCAAAGAGACTCTGTATGCTTTGTTACAGAAATGCAACACAGAGAGTACAGGCTATAATTAGCCTGAGTTCAGGACAATAGTTTGGATGGGAAAGCTGCATGCTGTTGTACGATGGATGTTTTCAGCAAAGGGAAGAAAGAAGGAGGGGGACAGAGGACGAGAAAGATTGACATGACATGTGCAAGCAAATGCCACTGGCCCTTACCCAAAAGTAGAACTAAGTGACTCATCGTAACAAGTGGTGAATCTCCCAGAAGACCGTAGAGCAGCTAGGATCTACTATCCTGCTGTTTGCTTGTGTACATTACAGACATGGGGAAGGAATAGTGATGGAGATGAGATAGTCCCAACTGGAGAACATAGAAGGTAACCATGGGTGCCGACGATCATATCCTAATCACCTTGTCCGGAGAAGGCCCATGGGGTTTCAGGCTACAGGGGGGATCAGAGAAGAGCCTTCCTCTTCTTGTGTCAAAGGTAAGGTCATCATGTGGTCTAAAGCCACACAGGCCAAGTGGTTACACTCACTAGCACATGCTCCTATTACTGACAAATTGCATTGAATTTTTCTAATTTAGCTATTTTGGTGTAAAATTTACAACTGCATGTTTAATACCCAACAATTCCTGGTTTAGTGTGCAAAAGCAAAAAATTGCACCTCACAAGTAAATTTCTTGTTCTCTAGCTTAACCCCTTAAGGACCAAACTTCTGGAATAATAGGGAATCATGACATGTCACACATGTCATGTGTCCTTAACGGGTTAAACCAAGATTGCATGCTCTGCTAAAGGTGGATAAATGATGGGGTACAGAGACCTTTACTGTGGTCAATCTATCACATAGAAAGGTAATTTGAAGGCAGGCAAGCAGTAACCCTTTGTAACAGAAGCCTCCGTTCCCCTGGTTCTTTTTGATTAGTAAGCAGCTAGCACCTGTTTTGTAAATCAGATGTTGCCCTCCTGATAAAGTTGAAACCAATATTTGGAAACTACACGAACAACACAGAGGGGTTTATGAGAAGGAATGCATCATAGTTTATGGTACTTGTGGCAGTTGCAGACACAAATTCACAGTTCGTTATCATCATCTGAATGAGCATATCTTGAAAAAAAAAATACAATAATTACCTATTGGTGGCTTGATGACAGAACACAGGGATTGAAAAAGAACATGGTCTGTTGTGCCAGGGGTAGAAATTTTTATTTTATTTTATTTTTTTATTGCAAAAAAATGTATGCATATGTAGAAAAGTCCAATTTTTACACATTAACAACTAAAAACTTTGCTATACTACATGTTACATTGTAATAAAGTAATGGATATAAAATGTGAATGTTAATCTTAAATAGCTATAAACTGGGGTTATTCACAAATACCATTACTGCTGAGAAAAGATTTTAAAAAATTGCTCATTTTTGACCAACGTAGCAGGTCTACGAAAATAGCGTAATTTTTCCAGTATGGGCATTACACCTAAATTTGCAATTCCAAGGTCGATTCCTAACAATTCCCAGATTAGCAAATAGCCATAAATTTGTGTCAAATACTAAAGCACACATGAGAATCTAGACACACATTACCCAAATATATTTGCAAAAGTGAGAATTCAAGGTGATTTCAAAGTGAAATTTAATTTTAAGGCCAGAGTAGTTGAATGTAAAGCAAAGATGACTTAGAGAATATTTCCATTTCGGCTATTTGACCTTACATTTTAAATTCACTTTGAATTTATTTTGGTTTCCCACTTTACTGAATAACCCTCATAGACTATTTTGGTGCAAAATGCCACATAGGGAGAAATCATCATGAAAACAAGCAAATTTTTGCAGAGTTGGAATATTGACCCTGAATTGCTCTTTATCTGTAATGTATGTCCATGTATTATGTGTGCATTGGTGTTATGTGTACAGGAAGCCATTAGTTCATATTGTCTGATTTTATCATGATGCATTTAACCCATTCAAGTATTTTATGTTATGACATTCCTCCCACATCATCGGTCATGCAAGGGTTAAAGTCAAAATGGTCTGAGATGCTGCTAAGACTCTGCATTAGGGCCTCAATTTATTTTTTTGATGAAGCGTTTAAAAATATTTAATATTTTTGGATGCATTTTTAATATGATTTAATATTATGAAAAATATATTTTTAAAAATAATATGTTGCTATTTTTTTTTATATATATATACGTATTTTTATATTTTAATTTTGAAATAATTTTAATATTGTATTGAAATATATTAAATATTTTGAAAAGCTTATTGAACAATTTTAAATTGAGGCCTAAGTTAGGTGTGGGGGTCTTGACAGATATAGGAGATATATGCCTATTAGGGATTTATTCAATGGGGATGTTGAGATAAAGGAGCTAGGTCACCTTTGGATTGTGGTTTCAGTATTCTGTTCCTCTCATGCTGTTCGTCTTATGATTCTATGCTAGATTCATTAATACAGTTGGTTTTTAACGTTTCTAAGAAGCCTCTCAGACCATACCCATTAATTTTATAGATGGTGACTGGGAATTGCTATGGATCCCTTATAATTTTTGCATTTGTCTATCGCTTTAATAGATTGGAATCTTTAATGGTTTGCAGCCAACCAACTACGGTTTACGGCATCAGTTGTGGCAACCTAAGGATTTTAAATGTTACAATACTGGGAGCGATCCACAAAGGGCTCAGGCCCTGTGTTCTGTTTGTCACAATAATAAAAAAAAAATTTGAGTTTGTTTAGCCACCTGTCAGAGAAACGGTTTCAAATTACCTTGAGATAATCCTTTCGTAACTAAGTTAAATGGTAATCATAAAGGACAAAAAAAAGCCTGTTGAGTTCCTTATAGCAAAACAGCATAAAAATAATTGGTTAAGAAACTGGAAAAAGTAGCATATACAAATAAAAGATAGTATTTGCAGTCACGGTGACATACTTTGAGGAAATGTTTTAAATCTCTAAAGTTTTGTTCCTACAAAAGTGGTAAAGTAGGAGATATGCCCACAAATTGGTGTGTGTCAGTGATACTTAACATGTAAGAGGGAACATGGTTTTGAGCACAAGGTGGTATTATTTGCACGTTAGATGGGCACAACTATGTTCCTGGCACCTAGCAAATGTGCATTCCTGAGGAGCTTCTGCATACAGCAGGCGTTCTCAAGCACCCTCACTAGAAGAATATCTTCCTAAATTAGGATTATTTTGCCAGATATGGGACACTTTTTTCCACAGATCGCCATATTTCCAGCCTAGTCTAAAGTCAGGCTCTCCACATAGCAATTTCCAAGGGGGCAAAGCCACTATTTGAAAAATCACTGCCACTGTTTACTGACTTAACCAACAGAGGCATTACCCTAAAGCAGTGATCTTAAACTCTGCCCCTACCACAAAATGTTAATAACCTTTAAATACCTTTAAATCCCAGAATTCATCAAAGGCAATAGAAGGCCAAGCAACAAGGCAGTTGTAGTTTAGCAACATCTGGGGCCCCAAAGTTTAAGACAGTTCTCCTAAAATGACATTTCATTCTGGAACTGATGACATATAAAGAGATTAGTAAAATGTGTAAAATAAAGTAAAAATAATAAAAATATGCACTACTGACTAATGCTTACTATAGTTTGTATAGTACTTTCCATAAGCAATGCTTTATATTATGGGAATTATAATTCATTTGTGAGCTTTTTCTTGACATCATATACAGCGGTACTTTTAGGGCAAGAAAAAAGAAAATAATATTGCAAGAGGAAAGGGCTATAAGGATAGGCTTACACTGTATTCCTAACAATACAGTATCCCACTGCCTCCGAGTCTGCTCCACTCCCATCACAGTCCCACTCCTGACTTTGAAATGGTTAATAACCCATTAAACACTTAGCTGATTCCAGGGCCAAGATTCCTCTGAGCTGGATCAGTCTCTTCCTCTGACAAAGCAGGCATGATCCGGAAAAGAGATGCTCAAAAAGCACTGGATACGCTTCAGGCTTTCCTTAAAGGGATGCTGGACATGTTCATGCACATCGTCTTTCACAAAGTTAAACTCAGTGTGTAAAATTGCAGTTTCTGTAAAACTGCACTCTTTTCACTTGCAGGCTTTAGAAGGCTGGGACACAGCATTCAGACCACTTAAAGGGACACTCCAGGCACCCAGACCGCTTCTGCCCATTGGAGTGGTCTGGGTGCCAACTCCCACTACTCTTAACCCTGCAAGTGTAATTATTGCAGTTTTTTATAAACTGCAATAATTACCTTGCAGGGTTAACTCCACTCAGTGGACAGCCACTAGAGGGCACTTACTGGATCATAGCACAGGAAACCTCCAGCGTCACTCATTTCCCCATAGGAAAGCATTAAAAAGCATTTTCAATGCTTTCCTATGGGGAGCTCTAATGCGCATGCGCGGCATTGCCGCGCATGCGCATTAGGTCTTCCCGGCCAGTGGGCGGGATCAGTCTCGCCCACCGGCCGACGCAATCACAGGGAGGAGCGGCGGCAGAGGAAGAAGCAGCGACGTGGGACATGTTGCTGCTTCTGGTAAGTTACTGAAGGGGTTTTCACCCCTTCAGCAACCGGAGATTGGGGGGTGGGAGGGAGAGGGGACCTGCAGTGCCAGGAAAACTGATTATTTTCCTGGCACTGGAGTTTCCCTTTAAATGAGATGAAGTGGTCTTGCCTATAGTGTCCCTTTAAGGAGCATCAATTAGACCTCAAATCGCAATTTATGTTTTCAACACTCAGTAATATAATTAAAAAAAAATCTAAGCAAACCATTGTCGAATTTGCATGATTGACCTAAAATGAAAGAAAATAGATCATGTATATAGGGCAGGCATCTTCGTATATTAATTAAAGGGTGGCAAAGTGCTGAATGATTTCACACTCACTTAGTGAAGAGCTTCTATAGGGTTCACTTGGATCACCGTTACACTTTTGGACAGACTTGTGGTCAGATCAGATGTGTAAGACTGCTTGCTATGAGGGCAGCAGATCATAATCTTTTTATAATTATTTCTAATAACAATAACCTGAATCACATTGCTTAGTATTTATCTATTTCTAGAGAGTCCCTAACACTACTTCTTCCCTTACCGTGATAACCCTCATTACCCTGTACCCTTATTACTCTGAGGAAGGCTGAACGTGATGGACGCAGTCTCTTTTCAGCTATGTAACTATGTAACCCCAAATCATACTTTAAATATTCAGGAGTACTGTGTGGGGGTGTCATATTGTGTAATTATGATGCTTGTTATTTTAACAATGTTCTAATTGTGCTGTTTTATTTTCACTTTAATGGGAATCATGCTTAAAAATTTACACATAAAAGGAACATTCTGACATTAGGAATACAAACATAAATTCCGAACATTAGAGTGTTTTGCTAACTATTAAGATGTTCAGGCCTCCCATGAATAATGAAAGAGTTTAACTTACCTTTAAGCTCATGCCACACCAGTGTCGCCAGGACTGCCACTCCTCTCAGGGCCGAATTATCATCCTAAAGGAAAGTCGTGAGGGGCAAGTGTGCATGCGCAGCAATTACTGCACTGCACCAATCAGAATCTTCTTTTTTGACATCTTCGGGCTGAGCGTGAAGACGCTGAATGTCAGGACTGCATCACTCAGACACCTCCTAGAAGTATCCCCAGCTCGTAATGTTAATACTGCCTATTCTCAGAAAAGCCAGTGTTTGCACTCTATGAGAAGTTTGTGATTGATCTGGTTTGCCAGCTTAGAGGGAGACCGGAAGGAGGCATGGGAGTTTAAAAAACAAAAAAGAGCAGTTTTATTGGGTGTGAGAGAGGGGAGGAAAAACGCTTCACCTCGCAGGTGAACAAAGGAAAGCTCTGCATGTCTGTTGCCAGCGTGCTGTGCACTCTGACTGACATATTTTATGCACAGAATTGACATCATGTAGCTCAGGACAGCTGCGTAAGTCACATGTGCTGCAGATGAGGCTAGCCCCCAGCATACAAGTACAGATGTGCACCGTTCCAAGCATAAACGCTGCACATACATACTCCTACCAGTACCACCATGACCACTTCAAATCACTGAAGTTATCATGGTGGTTCATGGAGTAACCCTTTAACTATTCCTTAGAATTCATTTGCAATTTTCCTGTATTGTTTAATTATCACGGAGGCAAGTTTCTATTTTATTACACAGATTGCATTGGAACAGCAAGCAAAATATTGCTTTGTGTGTCATTTTAACGCAGCATATGCAAAGGATTATTGTATTTTATTGCATTGTGCACAGTGGGTGAAGAGACAATGGTTTTGTTACTGAATGAAATCCACAGATGTCATTAGTGCCTTGCTCAAGGCTTCGCAGCTACGACACAGGATCACGGACACATTCCATGGATTATTGTCTTCAACACAAACGATCTTTCTTCATTAAATTTTTATAGCAGCCACATGATGCCTCACCAGTTGATTGCAGATAAGCATAAATTATGCTAACTATTAAAGGCACGGTCAGATTATACAAGTAACAGTACTTAAGTAAATGCCTAGATGCAGTCCTGCAGCTAAACAAATTAAATGGTTACTGTTTACAAATGTCAGTTAGTATGCCTCTAGTGGCTGTCAATCAGAAATCCACTAGAAGCACTTCCTCCTATACTGAACTTTTCTTTGCCAACACTGACATTTGGCTCATGACCTCCAAAACTTGTCCACTTGACGAATATCAATCCGAATATCGTCCATTAAAATGGTTTGGAAAATGCTAAACATTTAAACTATTAGATTGTTTTGTTACATCTGAAATGACTACCTCTTTAAGATTAATGTTATTCTTCATATTAATACAAAAAATTATGTACATATATACAGTGGGACCTCGGTTTACGAATTTAATGCGTTCTCCGGGACGTTTCTTATTGCGAAAAATTTGTAAACCGAAACGCGGTTTCCCATAGGAATGCATTAAAAACCAATTAATCCGTTCTGGAGGTCAGACAAAAGTCAAAATGAGCTGGCATGGAAACCAACCTACAATGCAGAACACACAATAAAAGGCATGCAAACGACGAAGCTCAGCTCCATACCTTTCCACAGCATGAGAAATGCACCAAAAAGTCCCTAAACAACGGCAAACAATTTCCAGAATGGCTCCAAAACTCGATGCAAAAGACGCTCCAACACCTCCACACTCGATGCCATGTGCTACCCACAGGCTCCAGCATGCAGAGGGCAGTGCTACAAACCACCCAGGTGCAGTGCATCCTGGGGAAGCTTGCTTTTTTATTGCGAAAATTTTTTGCAAACTGAGGCATTATTTTCAATGGAAAAAACTTAGGACCTTTCTGGTGTGTCCACCTTCCGGGTCCTTAGAATTTTAGAGAGTGCAGCGCTATATAATAATGTGAGGTGATATTGTGTTTTCCAATATTTTATAAAAATACACTTACCCTCTACAATAATCTCAAGAAATTATGTATATATAAAACAAGAAGAGAAAATATATACAGATAATAGTGCAGTATATTAAAAAATTGGAAGACTTGTATGTAAGTGACAGATATGTCTAAACTCACATTTTCTAGAGCCTTTTCTAGTTTTTAGGCTCTAAACTTCTGAGCGTCTTGTGTCTTTTTAGGTAGACTACACAACCTCTTTCTCCAGGCAATGGTATATTCCTCTCCACAGCATATATGGAAGACACAAATGTATCAAACTAAGTGTAGTATCTCCAATAATAGATGTATTTTAGAGAATATAAAATTCAAAGTGCTCACCTTTTTTAGAGCCTTTTGATAACTGGCTCTAAGTATACAAGCTTGGTGTCAATTTTGGGGTGACACTGCCCCCTTCCCTGGAATTATTTTCAGGATCCAATGGGATGATGTAAAAAAGGGAATATTTATTATAATAAAAAATGTATTATTGGTTTTATTAGATTTTTGGTTTTATAAGATTTTTTTTGTGCAGAAATTATAAAATAGTTCAGTTTTTTTTCATCAGTTGCTTCTTTTGTGCCCTTATCAACATTTTGCCAACGCAATGGATTAATTAATGTCTCTTGCATTTCTTTGCAAAATCTCCACCATTGGCAATTTTCTCATTGTCTCCATAGCAGGAGCCATGTATAGAAGTAAAAATCTAAATGGGGAGGCCCACTTGGCCCAATTAGGCCAATTAGACCTATGACTATCAGTTCAAATAACAGAATTTACTTTTTTTGCAAAAAGGAACAGAGGACTAAAGCTACCAAACAGGGTGTAATTCAAAAACCAAAAGCAAATGAATCCCAAGCTAAATTCAGTCTATTTGGAACAGAACATGTATCCTTGTAATGGTAAGCAGCAGATGGGTTTTGCCAGGGCCCCCAACAGTCTTACTGGACAGTGCCAATTTCGGGATTCTGTTCCACTGTCCTCACGCTGTGCAGCGGGCACTAGGACCATTCAGGAAACCCGTTAGCAGTGTTCCCTGTATGATCCTAAAGGGCTGGTCAGGCACTCTGTCAGTGGGCAAAACAACCCCTTTTCTGGGCGGATCCACCCATCATGGCCATTGCTAGTGATATGGGTTGCATCACTAGCGACTACCTCCTCATGGTCCTGCCCCCCCATCCCGATTCTCCCCTCTCGACTGTTGGGAAGAATGGTTTTGTAAATTATTTAGTGCGCTGAAAACTGAATTGCAAAATATATGTCAAAACTTGATATGCAGTGAAACTGATAAATACAAGTGAATTCTATAGTATGCACAAGTAAAAATAATAAATCAAGACAACTTTAGGACTAGTAAATGTTTAAAGGGGCTGTCTAAGCAGCATACTGTACTCAGTAGTGGTTATGGTGCCCAAAGTCTCCTGTCCCTGTCCCACCAGGTAAGAGATAAACAGTTTTTGAATGGGTTGACACTAACCTGGGTCAACAGGTACCTTATCAGTTTACTTAAAGGACCACTATAGTGCCAGGAAAACATACTCGTTTTCCTGGCACTATAGTGCCCTGAGGGTGCCCCCACCCTCAGGGTCCCTCTCCCGCCCGGCTCTGGAAAGGGAAAAGGGGTAAAAACTTACCTTTTTCCAGCGCTGGGCGGGGAGCTCTATGCCTCCTCTCCTCCTCCGATCCGCCCCGTCGGCTGAATGCGCAGGCGCGGCAAGAGCTGCGCGCGCATTCAGCCGGCCACATAGGAAAGCATTCTCAATGCTTTCCTATGGACGCTGGCGTGCTCTCACTGTGAAAATCACAGTGAGAAGCACGCAAGTGCCTCTAGTGGCTGTCAATGAGACAGCCACTAGAGGGAATAGGGGGAAGGCTTAACCCATTCATAAACATAGCAGTTTCTCTGAAACTGCTATGTTTATTAAAAAATGGGTTAACCCTAGCTTAGTGGTCTGGGTGCCTAGAGTGGTCCTTTAAGTGGAACTTCGCCATCCAAAAAAGATTTATTGATTTTGCCCTTATTTGGTTGGAACTCATTTTTAAAGAGTCTCAGGTTATACTGTCAACCAATGTGGACCAGACAAGGACAAAAATTTGGCCTGGGTGGCTGAGTAGGAGGTCCTGAGAGACTGAGTAGGAGGTCCTGAGAGAGTCGTGTTGTGTCATCACCAATGACAAGTATGCTCCCTCACCCACCAAAAAAATATTTAAATTTAGTTAATGACAGGCTTGTGCTGGATTTGCTGGAGTCCTAAATCTATAAATGGGATTCCAGAGGACAAAAGGGCATGCATTTGGAGGCTGCTTGTGGGAGTGTTTGCAGAAGGATCTGGTTTTGTTTTTGTTGTGTTGTAGGTTAGTTTGTGTGGATATGAGCAGTAGTGTGTGTGGCTATGAGCTGTGGACAGAGAGATTGTGTGTATGTGAGTGTAGAGGATGTAATATGTGTATAGTGGACGTGGTGTGTTGTAATGTGTATGTCTAAAGCTGTAGTGTGTGTAAAAGTGTGTGTATAGGGACTGTAGAGAATGTGTGTTTCTATGGGATGTAGTGTGTGTTCATTGGGGATGTAGTGGGTGTTCATAGTTTCATAGTTTGTATCAGTGTTTGTATCAGTGTTTGTATGTGTATGGGGTATGCAATGTGTGTCTAGGGGTTGTAGAGAGTGTGTGTGTCCACGTGCTGTAATGTATGTATAGGGGATTTAGTGTTCTAAGGGATGTAGGATGCGTAAGGTAAGTATTTTGTGTGTACTGATGCAGTATGAGTTTACAATGGCTTTAGAGACTGGATTGTGAGATAGGTGTGTGTGCTGGGGCAGGGGGTTGTGTCATTTTTTTTTATTTTATTATTTTATTAAGTAAAAATGTATTCTCCCCATCCTTAATTCTTACCCATTGGCCAGGAAGAGGGACATGCTGATCCCTGGTGGCCCAGTGCTAATAGACTCTAGTTTACACTTTCACATATTCTTCCACTTTGATAGAATCAGAATGTTGCTGTGAGTCTGCACTTGGTGGAGGTCTGACTACCCCCTCCGGCAGTAGTTGCACTGGATGTTAAAATCAAGCATGTGCAGTACACGTCCAAAAGTCGTTAAAGTGGCTCTGTGACCAAAAATGATTTATGTGTTCAGGACTCGTTGAGATCTTCTTTGTAGAGACAGCCATAATGATTTGAGTGCTATTATTTTGGCTACCTTGGCTCTTGCTTACCTAATGACTCACTAGTGTATACAGCTACTGTACTCTCAGGTGAACCATGAAATGATTGTTGTCCACGACAGGAGAGGGCCGGTACATCAGAAGGGAGGACATTTGTGTTTAAGGAATACAGTGTGTGTGTAAGGGTGTGTATGTGTGTGTGTGTAAGGGATGCAGTGTGTGTCTGAATGAATGTGCAGAGTAAGATTTTATTTAATTTTTAAAAAATTTAAAAAAATCTCCCCTCTTACTGACAATGAAGGCTGACACAAATCATATGACATTACAGTGGTACTTAGACATTCTCTTGAGAACCCTGGCACTATGTGGTATCGGCGTGTTGCCGAAGAGTACTGGCAGGTATGAAGCCAGACGCCCCCCTTGCCATACAAGCCAGCAATGACAAGGGGAAGGAGATCTTTGATCTTCCTTGCCCGCGGCTGTGTGTGTTACATATATATACAAACATTCTGAGTATGGCCTGGTATGTATTGTATGTGCGTATAGTGGATACATCAAATGCGCTATAGGGGAAATAGCGAATGTGTGTATATATAATGGCTGTAGTATAGTGTGTTTTTGTACTCCCCTGTACCCCCCTGATAGTAGCACTGTATAAAAGTATATGTAGAATAAATAATGGTCAAGGCACTCAGGGTAACAGCAAAAAATAGAAGCCTTATTGGGGCAAAAGCAGCAACGTTTCGACAATCCCAGTCATTTCATTGCTACTTTTGCACCAATAAAGCTGCTAATTTTTGCTACTACCCTGAGTGCCGTGACCATTATTTATTCTACATATCTGGAAGGGGGGCCTGGCCGGCCATGGTCCCGGAGCACCTTGATGGTTAGGTGAGTGCGGTATCCAGTACGTCTCTACTGTATAAAAGTATAGATGTTTAAAATGTGGACATTTATAAAATGAGAAAAAGGGAGATGTGGATGTTTGACAAAGACTGAATTACTCTATTTGTAAACATTTTGAGGTATATTCATTGTTTTCTTGCCAAACGAAAATCACAAAATGAACCATTGCCTGCATAAGCAGAAAGTGTGCAAAGAATTTAAGCAAGCAACTGATATGAAGAAAACAGATGAACTTCAGGAATGGTAATGTGTGGGGCAATTTTTTTGAATTCTCTCCTCCATCCAATGCTGTGAGTTGGGGCTAACCATTAGGGAAGCTGCTCGGTGGCCTTCACTGTTCCCTCAGCGGTGCATTGAATTGAATCTCGATACGACATACTGAGGCATATGAGATTCAAGCAAAACCACTTTACTACTTAAAAATAGATATGGGCTTTAAGCTTGTGTTTAAGTATGGGCTGGAGCCTTAAAATGTGTGTGTTTCTAAAAACAAAAAACCACAGCTGTTGTGACTGAGGCTTTACTCCACAGGACCGTTTTCAATTCAGTCCATGTTTGTAGATGTGTCTGAGAGAGTTGTTGGTCTCTATCACCTGTCGAGGAGCAGTTAAGGATAAACGAAGAGATTTTCCTTGTTGGAGTTCTGACATTCAGCTGTGTTAACACTATAACCACCAAAACAACTTTAGCTTAAGGAAGCTGTTTTAGTGTATAGATCATGATCCTGCAGTCTCACTGCTCAAATCTCTGCAATTAAGAGTTAAATCCCTTTTGTTTCTGTCCATGCAGCCCTAGTCACATCTTCTCTGGCTGTGACTCACACACCATGCATGAAAGAAAATGATTTCACCCTTTAATTAGATGTAACTTACTTTAAAAGTTCTTATTGCCTGCTCTCTAAAGTGAACTGTAATCATACACAGAATGCTTCTGTGGGGTCTAGCCAGCTATCAGCAGTGCAGGGGATAATACATTTTAAATTGAATAGAATTTGCAATGAAGGAAGTGTAAACATTAGCTGACTCTTTACAGGAAGTGTTTAGGAAGGCCGTGCATGTCACATGCAGGGTGGTGTGACTACGGTGCATAAATACAGTGATTTAACTCCTAAATGGTAGAGAATTGAGCATATACACCAAAACTGCTTCAATAAGCTAAAGTTGTTATGGTGACTATAGTGTCCCTTTAATATTCATTTCCTGCTTTATAAGGAATCCTTTAGACTGTCTCTTTGTGCAGAGTCATCATCAATCTATTAATCCTGTAAATATTTGTAATAGTAGTTTGTCTCTGTTTGTTGTTAAGTCCCCTTAAAAATATCGTAAAGCGATGCAGAATATGTTGGCGCTATATAAATGCCAAAATAATAATAACAACAACTCAATGTCAATTTTACTTGTTCTTACCCTAAAAAGTTTCAATCTATGGAACAAAACTCTCTGATGTCTTAAGAGAAAGGTCAGTATGATGCTAAGAGTGTCCCTTGAAATTTTTTTTATAGCATTTCATTTTTATTATTTGTGTACAAAGAACCACTAGTGCGTGAAAACCATTGCTCGATTGTTTTACTTCCTTTGCGTTTGTTCATGTGATTGGAACATAAAGAGGAGCAATCATGGATTCATATCTCTTTAACCCCTTAAGGGCCAAGCTTCTGGAATAAAAGGGAATCATGATATGTCACACATGTCATGTGTCCTTAAGGGGTTAAAGGATATTTTAGGGTCCATTTTTTATTTTTACACCATGTAGCCGTTTTAATACAATACTTCATAAGTTCCACCCTTTCTTAAAAACATGTCAGGGCTATCAATGAACTAGACTTTTGCCACGTACTGTATGTTGTGCTTTGAGTACAGTGATGACTATAAATATGGAATTCAAGGGTAGCCGGGCAACCAATGTTGGATTTCAGGACTCAGATTGCTAAAAGACTGATGGCCCAAATTAGAATAGATGAAGTCTAATTTTAGTTAATACAGTAGCTGCTATTGAAATTATATGTGTGAAACCACAGTACAGAGTGAGTACTATGGAATGACTGGGAAGCAAAGAATCATGGGTGATTCTAAAATTTAGAATTTGAAGGGGTTAACATCAAAAGAGGGGTTCCCTCAAAAACATAGTTATACATAGACACAGTTACAGGCACATACAAATACACACACTCACACATACAGAGACACACAGACACACAAACACAGACACAGGCACTCAAACTAACTAATTATCCATCCTTTCCTTCTTGGATCAAAGGATGGCACCCCCAAAACCCCTATAGAACACTACAAGTAATACATACAAAAACAACAACTCCAATACATAACAAGCGGAGAACAGAATACATGGAAAAAGAGGTCATGTTTACATTATGGCTGCTTTGGGAAGATTTCAAAGTATCGGTTCGATGCTGACACTCCCATCAGTATCAAACCACTGCCACTCATATTGTAGTGGGGCCACAGGACTGGGTTAGAGGATCTTCATGATCTATGCCTGTCATGACAGAGCTGTGAACAGCATTCAGAGAGTGTAGGGAGATTGGGGGGAGGAAGGATTGGACTGAACATCCTATCCCTTCTGTCTGGCCTTTGACTGTACTCTAATGAAGTGTAGGCAACTGTTCATAGGTACCCTTTTCTTTTGCCTATTTAGAAGTAATTCATTAAGCTTGGTTGGCATTCTAAGGGCCAATAATATGTAATTCTATAGTCCTGACTATATCCTAGATTTTCCTGATTCCCATGGTTTGTCTACTATGCAACACTGAATAATGCCAGCTATGTTTAAAAGTATCACCTGTACTGTGCAAACTGCTTAGGTATAGAGACTTGTGGGTAGAACACCCTTCAAAATGGGCTGAGTGCCATGTCACCGAACCACAATGATGGCAAATACATAAATAATATTTTTACTAAAATGATTTATTCACCTAGTGAATAATTCACATAGTGACTAGACTGTGCGAGTATTCAGTATAAAGTGATGGTAAAATGCGTGGGTTACTGTTATATAACTAAACACACAGTGCTATTTTTACCCAAACACAATTCCTAATCTAATCCTTATTTTGGTAACTCAGGTCAGTTTTCTTACAGAAGCAACCTACTCTTTGCAGACTACTGCCGGAAGTGGTTTTATTCATTTATAGAAAATAATGTAATTGCAAAATGGTTTATAAATACATTTGAAATAGATTATAGATTCATTGTCTACATTACTTGTTAGTTATGATACGTTTTAAAATCATGTTTCTTGTGTATACTAAAGAACAACTCTAAGCTTTTCTTAGGATTTAGATGGTATTCTGCCTATTTTTTTCATTTTATTTTTTACTTTTTATATTATGCTTCATGTTACTGGAGTCTATGTCACTGTTCTGTCCCATCAGTAAATCAAGAAAATATATAATGAACATAGTCATTGAGATGAACCGAGTTTGCTTCCCCTTAATGTATTCACCATTGATTCAAAACGTTTCAGGACTTTTGCCAAACTAATTGCATGGTGTCCTATAAACTGATTAGGTTGACTTGGTCATGGAAGAAGGAAGAACAAACATTGTATCAATTTATTCCAAAAATAGATTTGTAACACACTTTACATATCAGTGGACTCAACTTGTAACATCACACAATGTCAATTAGCAGCTGCTAAAGCCAGCAAAACATTATCATGCTTTGAAAACTGATGTATAAGCAGTTGATATTTTGTCACTAGTAACTCATTAGCAAGACATCAACTAGGCTGCAAAGTAGTGCTTTATTTATGTCCATTTGAATTTATTTACGATATTAAGGTATGAGGCTATAATCTTAGATTAGGCAGCCACTAAAACAGATGATTAAAATCCCAAAACAAGATAAATGGGAAGATTATACCAGCTTAGGTGGGGCGACACCTGATAAACTGTAACACAAAACAGGAATAACAGGAAAACAAGAGCCAAGTTGTCATCCGAATACTCAAAAAAGGAGAAGGTCATAATAGGTTAACAAAAAGCACCAAACTATGGAGCCCTGGGGCCTTTATCCTATAATTAGAAATTCCAGTATTAGAACCAAGGGTACCAAAAACTTCCCGACTCACTATTATTAATTAGGAATTTCTCATCCCAAATAATGAGTGCTGAGGGCATTAGGTCAGCAAAGTTCGGCATTTTAAGCTTCCCATGCCCCCTGTACAGGGGATAAAGGCTGAAAGAGACCTCTTACAATTTCCCCAAAAATCAAGAAGATGCCCATAAGATTTTTTGATTTTTTTTTTTATCCGAGGAGACCAGTAGACCAGATTTATTATCCTAGATTGTGGGAGCTGTAGTACACAAGAAATTGTTTTTTTTCCTACCTCTTAGTGAATATAGTAGTTACAACTGTAAATAGAGGAAATGAATTAATGTTTAGAGGACTGGTGTATTTTCAAAGTGTTGCAGAGACATTTAAGGAAAGAAAATAAATATGTAATATTACTTAGGCAAACCATATGCCTTTGTACAATATAGACCTTTTAGGGTATACAGGAGATTTCTCTGCTATTTTTGGCCTCCGCACTATCAGCAGTCTCTTCCGTCCAAGTAGCAGATGGCTGCAATAAAGGAGAAAGCATTTGTGATTAAAACATTTTCCATACTCTGTCTTGTCTCAGGCTTGAGATATGTCTCTACTTTAACCAATGATACACTCGTTTTCCCAGCATCTTCGTTGGCTGATAAAATTATTCGGTTTAATTGCTCATGATATCACATGAATCATATCATCGTGTGATTTTTTTCTTCAATTTTAAAAGGTTTACATTGTTATATCCACATGATGCCCAAATTAAAGAATGCACTAGTTCCACTTTAAACCGTGGGTTGGAGGTTTGATTCTAAGTAGGATCTGCTCACCATTATCTACTTAAGAGGCAAAAAAAACATCAAACAAATGTTCTGGTATACTGTACACTGGCATCTATTCAATAAAAAAAAACAAAAAACTAAAAAAAAATTAACAATAATTGGTATTCAGCAAGAGATGTTTCAGAGAGCAAAAGGGTTGTTAAGCATATAAACAAAACTTAAAAGATGTATAAAATGTTAAAGGACACTTGCAATAATAAAAGTAAAACTAATCAATTTAAGTGAGAATGCTCTCTGCTCTTTTTTTCTATAAATATCTAGAACACATTGTATTTTCAATAAACATTAGGAATGACATAATGCATTACTAGATTTTTAGCATTATAAAGTACATAATAAAAATGCCCTTGTCTGCAGTGAATAATCAAGATCAAAAGGGAAGTATTGTGTCTATGCACACCAGTATGTGTGCATTGTTAATGTGCTGTATACCTAGTAAAAAATATTCACCAAGGTTGAAAATTGAGAAACTACTGTGGAAAGGATTAAATGAGAAATATATAGATCTATGATAAAGACATATTAGGACTGGTCTTACTGCTCTGGAGCTCCACAGATTAACACAGTTAAGGGACATAAAAGCTACTTTAACTATTTGTTTTGGAAGGCAGAGCATTGGCCGTGAGGAAGATGAACTGGGGATTCGCACTTCTCTCTCTAATCTGGAAACAAAGTATTAGATTTTTTTCAGACTTTCCAAAATTCACGTCCCGCCAATAATGGCGGTCTTTTTATATTCATGCGAAAAAATGACAAAATATTTATATTTTTTTTGTTGTTGAAATATTTCATTAGTTTAAAGGTATACAAAATGCAGTTTAGCCAAAATACAAAAGAGTTGTAATGTATTACTTTGAATAACACTCAAAATGGCAATAACCATCTGTATTATCCTAGGAATGTGCATTGGTGCCAATTATCGCAGCACAGAGGAGAATTAAATTAGACAGAACTCTACTTTAATATCCATATGTAAAGCTGCCTACTCCAAACTGACCCGAAGGTGGCAGCAAAGTGTATGTAAATAAAGTGTGCAAAAACCGCCTTGCAATGATTTGAAGTTCTGTACATAATAATTTTCAATGTAACTTGTAAGTACTGAACTTGTGAAAAAGCTTAATGGATTTTTATCACTAAGTGAGATTAAACCAGTCAAGTTGGAAAAAATCTCATATTCCACTATTTTTCCAAATGATCTATTTTGGCCTACATTTTGCAATAACCTTGCAATTCCTCCATAATTCTTTGCGTGTGAAAAACATAAGATTAGATGATTTATTTCCATAAACACAGATGTATTTCAAACCAATACAGGAGGAACTGTCACACTGTAATACGATGAATCCTTACCGTCTTGGCTATGATAAAAAACTATTTTTAGTTGCTAAGACAGAGGGAGTCATTTAGTCATGGGTTAATTCCAGTTGGACTGCAGTCTTTAGTCAGCACTTAAGAGCGCTGCTTTCCTTCTTAGTAACATATATTAACCTAAGCTCTCTGATGTGATCTCTCTTAATCCTAAATTGGACATACTGGTGGAGCATTTTCAAGCAAGATCCTCTCCAAATGCGGACTCATTGCCATCTCATTGTAACAAAGTTTAATGTCTAGGAACACTCCAATTACCATAGCCACTGCAGCTCCCTAGAGTGGCTATGGTGGCATGATTGACCTACTATCCTTCTAGAATAATCTTCTGTTTGACAACGTTTTTGGCATCTACCAGCTGCCTGAAACACCTGCAGAGAGTTTCTATTAGCTCCATTTAGCTAAACCCTACTGTGCAAATACAAAAATGCAAAATTAAGCCTTGTGCTCAAACTCCCACTACTCCTGGACGGCAGCAATGACTATAGTACACATCAGCCCCAATATATAGAATAAAAAACAAAGAAAAAAGTTACTTGCGCGTTATCCCAAATCCCTTCACATATTTAAATAACTGGAGGTTTTTTAGTATCACGCCAATGGTCAATAAAGTGTAAGCTCACCTGGCACGTTAAGGCAAAACCTCCTAGGTGAGTCCTACACTAACAAATCACCTTGCTGCTTTCAGCTAAAACGTGAAAGGAAAAATCTCTAATGAGATATACAGGGGTATTTTTCTAAACCCCTACACACCTATTAACCCTTAATATGGAACACTTCTGTGCGCTAGTAGCCAGTGAGTGCCTCGCTGCCTTGCTGCACCGCTGGGCTTATCTTAGTGCATGAGCTTTCAGTTATAGAGAAGGCAACTGTGGGTGCCTGGTGGATCCCGGGTAAGTTGTGAAATTGTTCTCAAATAGTTTGACTATTTTCCCTTGGACCATAACCACTACAGCAGCCTGTTGTGGTTATGGTGCTTGGAGTGTTCCTTTAAATACAATTTGTTTGATCTACAGCCTCTGTCTCACCGTTGTCGGATAATAAGACCTAACAGATAAATATGAAACTGTCAGATATGTATCAGGTTTAGAATACCACAATTGCAAATGTCCGGTATAACAGTGCTTAGAAACTGGATAATGTCAGCGAGTTACTGAGTTTCTCATCTGTGGCTTGTAGTCTTTTCATATCATTACTATATTCTGCCTCTTAACATGGAAAGCTGTCATGTAATTTAGGCTGAGCTACAGAATCTACCTAAAACCCCATTGCAGAAATGTCGAGACAGCTGAGAAGGAGATGATGGCATTTTATTTTTAGGCTCTGCATTATACACACAGAGTTATGCTGAGCCGTATAAATAGCTGTCTATTATAAAGTAGTATATTGTGGGACTCTCTAGTGCCCTTGGTGAGCCATTCATTAATTTAACTCCGTAACAGGAATAAACTGTGCATTTTGGACGTTGACACAGAATAATATTTTCTTGGCAACTCAACAAACCCTAAAATGATATTTTTATACGTTGGATGGTTTGCATGTTGCTCACATGTACTATTTTGCTCAATAAAGCTGCACATAGATCCTGTGGGATGTCCCTAATTAATATGGATTGTGGTGTCTGTGAACTCTTGTATAAGAATATCAGCATGTTTTAATAACATTTGTAGATAACATACAAGATCCAGCGCACTCACTCATTCACTAAACAGAAACACCAAAGCTAACAGATTTTAAGTGGTTTTTTTTGTTTTGTTTTTAAACAACTAATTTAGGCAAACAATCACAGGGTGTTAGTTACAGTATGTGATCATACGTTTCAGAAGCCTGCCTCAATGCCAATGTATCCCATTTTTGGAAAGCCGTATCCTTGCAACCTAATGCCTGCTCTTATGAGATTAACCCACTTACTTGCACAATCCTTCCACTTCTCTCTGCTCTGGTTAGGCATTACAAGTCAAAGTACCAAAGTATACAAGATGGAAAAATAGCTGAAATACAGAATTTTTCTAAATTCTCTACCATGCTAAAAACGTGCGTTTCTAGTTCTGTAACCAACTACCAATACATTGAATAACCTTCGCTGTCTTAAAGAGTGCTCTTGCACCCAAATTTACTATGATAAAGGATGTGCCACTTGCCAACCTGTGAAAAGGGGTATAAAAGCTTACATGTGTAACAGCAAAATGAAACCTATGTAACTAAAGCCTAGATATAAGTGTCAACGTAGAGAATAAAACGGATAGGGGTAGTAGAGCGCAAAAGAACTCAGATAGGAATAGAAAGAAAGAAAATAATTAGACTTCCAAGTGAAATGTGGGAAACAAACAATAAAAAAAACAACAGGAAAACAAGGGAAAGATTATCCTTATAACACATATAAAGAAAGTATAGTTAACATTGCTTCTATAGTCAATTGCATAATTCCCTTACACAGTTCTAGTTCTTTATTAAAGAGATGCTCCACTGCTGTCCCTTCCCTCCCCCCTCACCCCCCCAATAAATAAAAATCATTTTTTAGTAGATAAAAACATGTTTGCATTTAATTATGCATTTTTCATTAGGGATATATCTAAAATAGCTTGCAAAAACTGCTGAACTCTTGTCTGCAGACTTTGCAAATCCTCCCCTTCTAACCCTGCCCAGACTTTCTGTGGCTGTCCAATCACAGGTTTCCTAATGCAGCTCAATAAGATGTTTTTGCAAATCAAGTCCTTTGAGCAATTGCTGCCTCTTGAGTTTAGCTCCACTGAGCTAACTGTGACAAACTCCCCTCTCCAAGTAAGTTTGCCACAAGCTCCTGGAGGAGCCAGCTTGCCAGCCTCCTGCCCACAGACGATGGGCCCTGCAGGGGAACCTGTAAAAGACTACCAAACTTTACCGACTGTTAGCACTTATTTCCCTGGAACTGTTTTGGGCATAGGACCATGTGCACGGGCGGTCAAAACTATGACTTCCAGGAAATTCCTGAACCCCTGAACCGATCTGGGTGATTTTTGGATATGTTTTTTCACCCAGATGGGGGCTATCAGGGGATGTGACTTATGAAGATATGTTGTGTTTTGGGGTACTTTTGGGACTTTTTTAGAAATGTGTGTTTTTCCTGCTTGGAGAAAATTAAGTTGATACAGTAATTAACTTAATTATTTCCCAAGCAGAGGGGAGGGATTGTTTGCCTTGTGTGGGAGTGCCTTAGATTGTAAATGTGTTGCCATTGGTTTGGAACTTTGTTATTTGATAAAAGTGCCTATTTGTACCGAAATAGAAACACTCTTTAGGAGTCTGGAGTGTCTTTTTAAGAATTTGCATCTTTTTGGAGTTTGATGCTCCACGTGCAGAGTACCAGCATACCAAAATAATGTGTTTGTAGATAAATTCAAGCAATCTAGCAGTTGTATTTATAAATAACAGCATTTAACTGGCAAAAAGATTATCAGGGCTGTTCAGTAAAATGAGAATTGTTGAGAATTCTAAGGGAATTTAAAAGTATTGTCCACAATGGCTAAATGAGAACTTCTCTAAGTCAACAATTTTTTTCATATTGTCTAATTTGCTCTTATATTTGACATTTATTTAGAAATCCCTACGATACACTATTTAGTAATTAACTCTGTATGTTGCTACATTAAATTATATGGATAAAATTAGGCAATTTACATATTTCCAAAAATTAGAGATTAAATAGAAAAAGCTCTGTTGAGTGTTGTATGAATGTCCACTGTGACTAGAATCTATTCTATGGTGTGAGGTCATATTGCCTCAAATAAGCTAAAATTAGCTATGACCAATACAAGTTGCATGATGTGCTTTCTAATATGTTTGTGGAAGTCATTGATTTTTTTTGAAAAATTATCACTTTAAAAATAACTACTGGCTCAGTGAAAGCAGGATGAGTTATTTTTAAAATGGAGAAGCGCTGTAAATTCCATTCCTGGTTGTTTAGCTCAATGGAGCTAAACTCAAGAGGCAGCAAGTGCCTAGAGCACCTGTCTTGCAAAGAGTTCTCATTGAGCTGCATTGGGAAGTCTGTGATTGGACAACCAGAATAAGTCTGGGCGGGTTAGAAGGGGATGGTTTGCAAAGGCTTCAGGCAAGAGATCTGTAACTTTTGCAAGCTGTTTTTTGATATATCTCTATAAATAAATGCATATTTTAAATTTTTTTTTATTTGGCCAATGGAGTGTCCATTTAACTCTAAGGGGGAAGATGTTTTAGAGGGAAAGTGAGGACAATACAAATGGTAATTAATTTAATGTTATCTGAGCTTTTCCAATGCAAGTCCAATCATTTTTTACACAAATAGTTACATATGTCACTTATTTTTTTTTTTCTAAAGACTACTTGTGAGCCTCTTCTGTATATGCACTGTTTTAAATCAATATTTTTTAAACTTTTTGCTGCATTATATCTTTAATGCATTAAATAAATAATGCATTAAAAACAAGGGCTCATTTAACCTTATTGTTTCCCTTTAAACTAGTTAAAAAAACAAAACAATCAAACGTAATTTGCCAGTCTTTACATCATTACCACCAGTGGTAATTGAGATCAATTGTTTACAGTAAGTACTGAGTGAACTGTTTATCTCATATGCTACTGTGTTATAAGATCCAAGGGTTCACTTGATATAACTGGCTACTGTTTATGGGCTTGTGTTGTTTAAATCTGTTCCCATGGCCATTTAATATACAAACAGCTAAGCAGAACATACTTTAGAGATATATTTTGATCTGCCCATTGGCAAGCGGGAAGTATGCAACAGGATAGAAAGGGCAAGACTGAAAGTTGAAAATATAATACAGTAACTGAAACATAATGAGAACACAATCTGCTTAGTACATTTTTTCTTATCCACGCAAACTCAACTTTTAGAACTCATAGACCATTTAGTAAGCAAATATTAAACATCTAAAGCAAAACAGAATTAAGAAAACAAAACAAGAATATCTATGAGAGAGGAAGAAATAATTAGTGGAAGAATACAAAAGTGTAAAGGTTGATTTATGACACAAGGGACACGCTAGGTACCAACCTAAATGTTATGTATTTTTTAGTTTTTGGCCTAAATGGCCATGCTCAGTTTTGTATAGTTTGTAACATTCTACATCTTAACCCTGATTCCTCTGTCTTATCTCCCCCATTCTAAAACATTCCCTTCTTTGCGGATCTTCCGTGTCCAACAATACAGTTGTACGCGTCATCAGAAAGCACAGCAAAGGTTTCTGGAAGTGGTAGTTCAGCCACCAGTGTAGAAAGCTGATAAGTGAACTACATGCTTCAGAAACCCCTGCTGACCAAAAGTGAGGCTGTGCACAGAAAGCACAAGTGTCAGCGACTCACGCCTTTTACTTAAAGAAAGAATATAGGAATGGCCAGGGACGGTGCTAGACTATTTTGCTCTCTAGGCAAGACCAGCTACTCGCATCCCCCAAAACAAGAATTACCTACATTGTGTCTCTTTCTCCCTCCAGTTCATTTGTGTGTCTCTTTTTCCCAGCCCCCCAGCTCCTCAGTGTGTCTCTTCCCTTGGCCCGTCTGTGTGCCTCTTTCTCCCACAGCTAAATTGAGTGTCTTTATCTCCAGCCCCCATTTATGTCTCTTTTTCCCCAGCCACATTTTGTGTATCTTTTTCCCCAGCCACATTTTGTGTCTCTCCCACCAAGCCCCTTTGTGTGTCTCTTTCCCCCAGCTCCTTTGTGTATCTCTCCCACCTAGCCCCTTTGTGTGTCTCTCCCCCAGCCCCTTTGCATGTCTCTTTTTCCCTTTCCCCAGCTCCTCTGTGTGTGTCATTGTCCCCTTCCCAAGCCCCTCTGTGAATGTCATTGTCCCCTTCCTGTATGGTAATTCTTGTTGTATGGATATATATATATTTAGTTAAAAAATATATATTTAGTTAAAAAAAAAAAAAACAGAGTATACTATGATTTTGCACTATTCTGTGCACGCTGCCCAGATGCCCAGAGTTCCAGAATTTTCTTGAAGTGCAGTTGTCTTATCACATGACTCGGACTCTCTCTGGGCATCTGGCCAGTTCTGCGGGGTGGGCTGATGTCTTATATGTTTTGCGTAGTTGCACTCTTGCATGTCACTTGGATGAGTTAGGTAGTTGATAATAACAGCTCCCCCGGCCCCGTCCCCTTCCCTCTAAGCTGCTGTGATTAAAAATGTCTGGGCCAAATTTTTTTCACAGTCTGGCCTCTGCTAGTGGTTGTCATACTGACAGCAACTAGAGGCACTAAACATGAAATACTGGATTAAACACAGTAAACTATCTGAATGGCACAGTGTGGCATTTTGCCACACATGCACACTAGCCTCCCAATGCTTTCCTATTGGCGGAGTTTCACTGACAAGACTGGCTCTGCGACAGGGAAAAGGTAAGTAAATCTAAAAAGTGACTATGGTACTTTGCGTTAGGAATATATATTTGCATTCCTAACGCTATAGTGTTCCTTTAAGCCCTTGCAGCTAAGCATGTACAACAGTACATATTTCATAGGCCTCAATGAAAGGCTCTTAAATGTCAAGGCTGCATACTAGAGCTCGCAAAGCTCAAGGCTTATGATGCAATGTGTGAGGTTTTGCATTTTATCAGGGATTTGAGTATATCTTTTAATTTAAACGTTATCTGTGTGCTCTATTACAAATGGGCCAAATCCAGCGTAGGGAAACTCTTTAAAGGAATATAAATTAAAATGCACTCCACAGGCTTCAGGTAGGATGATAAGAATACTTCAGTTTATTTAAATGGGAGAGTATCAAACAATGTCAGGGCCCCCGGCTCACGGCTGCACGTTTTCGCACCCGATCGGTGCGACCACACAAACAGGTTCAAGAACTTACCTGTGCAGCAGCGAGTCGGGAGCCGACCCGCTGGGACATCCATACCCTCCACACGCGGGATCCAAGATGGCGCCGTCGAGGTTGCAGCCATTTGTAGCCCCGTCTCCAAAAATCACGCGAGCTTGCGTGTGATGTCACAACATCAACGCACATGCACGTTCTGGGGTCAGAGGCCAAACTCTGACCAATCACAGCCCAGGGAGGGGTATCTAAACCCCAGAATACCTTAGTTCATTTCCCCGTCGTGGTTTCCGTTCCTAGTATCCGAGAGTGCGTTCTTGTATTTGAGATTCCTGGTATTTGACTTTGGCTATTCCTGACTATTCTAATTTCTGGTTTCCCTGACTTGGCTTTCTAATTGACCTTGTGTATTTCTGGCTCCCTTGACCTCGGCTTTCCCTTGACTATTCTCTATCTTTCATCGTATTAATCTGGCTGTTCTAAGGACAGGTTTAAGTTCTGTCTCTTTTTCTGTTATATGTAGTTGTTACATAGTTTTGCATGTTGGATCTTATAGTAGTCGTGACAAACAGCCTCTAAAAATGAATAAAGGGCGCTACCCTAAAGAGACACTACTCCAAGCGTCAAAACTCTGCCATAATACATAAAAATACACAAGGATTCACACCAAAGGCTTACTCAATTACCAAAACAGTCTTTATTACTTACAGAGTAAAACTATATAATAAAACGTGAATAGGCTAAACATGGAAACACCAAAGTAACATTGCATACACAGACCCTACCTCAATGTTTCAGCACCACAGTGCCTTTCTCAAGGGACAGCAGTCCCTGACTGTTTAGACTTCGTTTAATACTTAATCTAAAACCAGAACTGGTTAATGGTGCAAATGAGCACAAAGGAATTATTTATCCATGTAGAAAAGGGTAAACAAATCTATTTAAAGATATTCTGATATTCTGATTGCAAATCTTTGGTTGGGTTTCCAGATATATCATGTTTCTTTTGGACAGCATATCACTTCTTCATGCTGATGGGTTGGACATGAAACATGGTTTCATGCAGCAAGCAATTTCGTCAAATTGAGGAGAGAAATAAATATAGGCTGTTGCTTAAGACTTCGTTCTGTAACATGTGAATGCTACATACCACTGGGCAGCCAATCAGTAGGAACAAGGCATAAACAAAATAATATGATTCATTTGGCATGCCTAATCAAAGGTTGAATAGACCAATATTTACGCAGCATGCTAACATGAAGTTCTGTCCCACTTGTTGAGCAATTACATGCATTAAGTGGTAAATAATTGTGTTCTATGTGTAACCCTTTCAGGTACGTAAGCGGAGCAAAGCTTGCCGAGGAGGACTACGGGAAAATGATGAGCTGGTCTCCATCAATGGGAAGGCCTGTGCTGGTTTATCACACGCCGAAGCAATGCTTATGATAGACTCGTCATCAGGAAGCAGTCTTCATATCCGTGTAAAACGGTAAGAAGCTTCCCATTTTAATCCTTTTTTACATATACACTTGTGGTGAGCTACAGGAGTTTCTTGTCACTAGACCATGTACCTCACCCAATACACTTTCATCTCTAGTGTCTCTATTTAGACAAGTATACTGTATTCTGGAGAATAAGGATTGTTCGCAAACAGTACAGTCAGTAGCAAGAGCTAATGCATTTTTCATGCATTATACAGAGTGCATTTAAATATACAAGTAAATAATGAGTTAAAAACAGCAACTAAATAAAAAATATACTCACTATTGCAAAACCCCACCGCTGGACAGGGTTCTATGGGATAAGAACGTACCCCAAAAAGCAGATTTAAATGCTGCTGAAACTTCTTCTGGTTGAGGTAGAAACATAGAATGAGACGGCAGATAAGAACCATTTGTCCCATATAGTCTGTCCAATTTTCTAAATACTTTCATTAGTCCCTGGCCTTATTTTATAGCTAGGGTAGCCTTATATCTTGCCCATGCATTAGGAATACAGGTTCGTATTCCTAACGCTATCGAATTCCTTTAAGTCATACTTTTTTCTTTTTAAGAACAGAGCTGATCGCAGTGCAAGTTGTCATATGCAAAGCTATGAGAGAGCTCACCAGAAGAGATGCAGACTGTATGGCAAGTGTCAGCCTTGCAGGCAAACACATGTACTTAAATTGCCCAAAAGAAGCATAGTCCCCTTCTATCCCCTATGAAATATTTTGCAAAGGCGGCAGATGACTGCAAAAGTTCTAAACAATAAGAATAAAACATCCAGGGACAGTGGAATTCCTTGCTTAATTTAACACTTTTCTCCCAAAGTCTTCTATTAATAGCAAACTAGAAAATCATGAATAAAAGACAAGAAAAAAAACCATTAAATCGGTGAATGGTTAAAATGCAACCCTTGGTTGTTTTCTGTAGTATACAACTGGTTAGTGAACAGGCAAAATATATAACTGTTTATTACTGCTGCAAAGTCAACAGCTCTATGTGTCTCAAAATAGTGCGACCTCCTCCTTCCTAGTTAATCTCAGCATGAAGGATTCTCTCCCCACCTGTTGGAGATAAATAACATCACTCACAGCAGCACACTATTGCCTTTCACATGGCATTAGCTGCCTCTTTTGACAGCACACATGAGCACATTGTCCTCTGGCTGGAAGTTAGTCTTTTTGAACAGCTGATAGGAAGCTTTGCTTGGAAAATACCTTTGCAATTGTATCTAGAGCAGAGCATGTTACATCTTAACTTTTATTCTACGGGTAGGAGAAAATCTCTGATGGGTTGTTAATCTGAGATGCACGTACATGTAATTAAATACTTTGCTGAATAATCTTGCTGCCTCACCTCTATTTCTTTTTACAAGTCAAAATACCATCAGCAAAATATGTCATCAGCCAGGTGTATACCTGGCCTTTTCCTAACCTCTTTGCCATATCCCATCACAGGTTTCTTAGTTGTAGCTTGATCGGTTTATATTGTGCAACCATCCACTTGTCTGCATAGACATAAAAATTTATGGAAAACAGCTGATTATTTTAAGATGTTGATGACATATGTTGCGATTAGGTTTGCGCTTTTCATTTATATTTTTGAGCCTAAATGACATATTTGTGCTGCGTTTGCTGGTGATTTGCCTCTAGTGTCCCCGTAAGTTTAATATCATCAGGATAAAAAAGGGACAGGGCTGGGAGAGAGTGTTGTGTGTTCATATGGAGGCTGCCTGTGGTTTTATATGCTTTGAGGCTGCTTGTGAGGGTGTGTGTTTGGGTGCAGGCTGCTTGTAGTGTTGGATGTAGAGAGACTACCTTTGCTGTTGTATATGCCTGTGTGTGCAGTGGCTGTGAGATTTTTTTTTTTGTGTGTGTATGCGTGTGTGTGAGAGTTGTGGGGGAGGGAGAGGGCAGGAGGGAGTAGCTGCATGTTTGTGTTTTGCTTGCCGGGTTGTGCGTATGCATTTGCGCTTGAGAATTTGTGTGGATTTGTAGTGTAGTATGTGTGGAGAGGCCTTTTAGTGGTGTAGTGTGGAGATGGGTTGTTGTGGAGGAGATACAGGTTGCGGTATATGGAGGATTTAATTTATTTCCCCTTCCTCAGGCCTACCTTGGCCACGGAGTGGGAAATCCTTATGGTTCAGTCAGATTTGCTATTTGTCTGCACCTCCAGTTGTGCCACATGGCTAAAGATGGGAGCTCTAAATGCAGGAAACTGGGAATAAGGGTCAGACCTGTAGGCAAAACCAAAGTCTGCTCAAAGGTCAAAAGTACAAGCAGCAATGCTCAAATACATATAAACAGGCAAGTGGTCAAAGATCCAAAGGGGCAGTAGGTCTGAAGCAGGGGCAAATCTAAAAGACAGTCAGGGGACAACAGTCAAAGATCATAACAGGAATACAGGCCATAATGAAATTAGATTCACACTAAATGAGAGAACAGGATGACTGGGCAACTTGCTCAGGTTGTTCTGTACTATGGAAGTGAGCGCCAGTTTAGGCCACACCTCCTCATGGCCTTCCTATACAGCCCCCTACTAACAGCATGAGCAGGGATTGGGACATTACCCAGGTTGGCTGAGAATGCATCAGTCTGGGAGCAGGTTTGAGCCCGCCCCTTTGTAGTGACAAAGACCCAGTCAGATGCCCAGCTCCTCCAAGGGAAGTATGTTGCCCCAGAAGGAGGGAGGGGTCAACACAATGAGTCTCTGGCTACCTTGTGAGGCATCTGATTTCACCTACTCAAATGGGCACTGTGATCCCACTGGTGCCCTGCCTCCTCTGTAAGCATCAGCACATGAGCAGTTAAATGTCAGCCTGATAGATTTGTTTTTCTCAACTGGCACTGGGGAAAGTATCAAAGTGTTGCCATGGTAACCTATGGCAACACTCTCATACAGTTGAAAGAGCAGAGAACATGGTCTGTACCCGCAGCAGATGCATATTAAAGGGACACTATAGTCACCAAAACAACTTTAGTTTAAAGAAGCAGTTTTGGCATTTAGATCATGCCCCTGCAGACTCACTGCTCAAATCTCTGCCTTTTAGGAGTTAAATAACTTTGTTTATACAGCCCTGGCACACATCCCTGCATGTGACTTACACAGCCTTCCAAACACTTCCTGTAAAGAGTCATCTAATGTTTACACTTCCTGTATTGGAATTACTGTTTAATTTAGAATTTCCTATCTCCTGCTCTTTTAATAGCTTATTAGACCCTGCAGGAGTCTCCTGTATATAGTTGAAGTACAACCACTTACACATCTGTAGGGCTCCCAGTGCCCGGACTGCCATCACAGTCATTTACACATCTGTAGGGCTCCCAGTGCCAGGATTGCCACCACAACCACTTACACATCTATAGGGCTCCCAGTGCCATAACTTTCCCTCCCTCAGAAATTCAAAGCACTTCGGCACTTCAGAAATTCAGACCAATGTCATTTGATTCGGCACTATCGAACTTCAAAACTTCTGCACTACGGACATTCGTAAGCATACGAATTTCACGAAATACATCCGAATGTACAGTCAGAATGAAACAAATTGCACATGTCTAATCAACATAGATCAGAAAAATATCACACCGAACCAGAGTAAAACCATTAACTAATGCTGGCAGTTAATTAGATAAGATCAACACAGTTGCGTTCACTGCTGCCTAAAATACGTTTCATCTCATGCAAATAGTTAAATAAACTATTCTTTACCATCCAATAACCATAAGAAGATCCTAAGCCTTAAAGCTTTACTGCAGTTATTTAACAACTAATTACCACTCATTCCAATCTCTTATTCCTGAATTACTAAAGATGTGTCTAATATCTCTGGATAATTGCTTGATATGCTAAATTTGGCAAATTACCAGTGAACCAATATAATACTTTAATTTCAGTCTGAAATCCTGAATTATATTATTTGTTTAAGCTAATTATGATTCCAAATTTTGAACTCTGATCAGCATTATCCAAGTATATTTCTGTTTTTTTTTTTTTATAGATATAATTAAATTAAACCATCATATTTACTCATCTGGTAGAGATATTCTTTGTAGACATTCTGTGGCTGGAGATAATCCAATGGATGTATGAGTAAAGTAAGAGTGTTCAAAGATGGAGTATTTGGAATAACAAAGTTAAAGAATTCCAGAAGTGCTCTGGCTATCAAAGAATTCTTAGAGTCCACAGAATTCCAGAGGGAAAAGGTGTGTCTTCAAAAGTGTTGAGCATCTATTCCCGAGTGTATGTCTGTTTCTCATTTTCTTTTTCTTCTACCAAGTGTGTGTTCTTACTTTTAAGAAATTCTCTTATCTCTATTTTTCACGTCAACTTTTTAAAGTGACCAATGGAATCAGATGGGAGTACACCATTATAATGAGTGCTAACCTAATCCTAGTGTTCAATTTCATGGATAATAACCAAGAGATGTTGCAATTGTTTCATGATTATTTTCATCACTATTTCCAAGGGATTAACTACTTTCAATGATGAAATTTACATGAAAAACTTTACAGCCAATCAGTCACAGGCGGCTGTCAATTTTCAAAGACTTTGGCTTAGTTTTTAACAGACATAGAAGCATGAAGTCTCATTGTAATTTAAGTAGTTGGCAAGTTTCAACTTCGTCTTACAATGGGACCTTATAGAAACCTTCATTAAACATAGACTCCCTTGTGATTTAATTAATTGCTGGTAAGCAGTATGTCTTATGAGCAATTTTCCACTATTTATCTGATACTGAATTTCAGTCACACTGACCATCCATTTTGTTAGACTAAGCGTGTTACTGATAATTTGTTTAACATATGATGTATATATCTTTAATACACATATAGCTAATATAATATAAAAAAATCTATTCAAATTACTATTTTCAATACATAAAAAAATATTTAAAGAGGAATATTATTATAATATATAATTAAAAAAAAAAGCTTTGGCTTTTTTTTTTCTTTTATCAAACTCTCCTCCTTTTCTTCCTAACACTTTGGTTTCTGTCCATGCAGTATTCAGCTGCAATAAATGTAGAATGTTATCTTAGCCACATTCCAAGGTTTTAATGACCTGGACTGTGAATAAGAGACACAAGCCTCATCTCTTTTCACCAAATTAATAGAGTTTAAGAGAAGGAAAAAAACGTCTCTGTGTCTTTTACTTTCTGCTATTTGTAGGCAAAATAGAGTCACATTTGCTAAACAGTGATTACAGTACTACAATTTGATTTTATATCCACAAGATGTCTAACAATATATGAACAGGTAGTTAAGCCAAAGTTCAAGGATAATAGAACGGAGAATGGTCAAGATACAACCCAGGGTCAGATAAAAAAGATACAACTAGCGCTACGGAATTTGTTGGCACTATATAAATATAATAATATTAATAATAATAACTATAGGAAACACACTCTGGGATAACCACTGAGGGAAACCATGATAGGGCACAGCATAATTGCCAAAATTATTTCATATAGCCCTAGGAGGGTAGTAATTGGTTATTAGTGGTCATGCAATGCCAGAAGGTGCGTCTGGTCAGGAAAGTAGGAGCCAAATAAAAGCTTTGATTTGCAGCGAAGGAACTCAGGAGGAGAGTGCTGTCACAGTGGGTGGAGATGGAAGTGACACTACAGGCAAGAAAACGCTGTTCATGGGAGCATGCCGTAAAGTGCCAAAAAAAAAGTCCTGATCCGGAGTCGATTATGTTTTGTTGACAAAATAATCTTTGAAAGCTCCTGTAAAGCCCCCTAAGTTATAGAGTGGTAGACTTGGGGTATGTGAGCAACTAACTTACTTGAAGTTTAGTCTTGGGATGGGTACTGTGCCTGATTCATTTTCATTGGCAGATAAAAAATTTTTATAGCACTAACGATATTTATCTTATGCTACAGTATGACATTACAGTTGTCATACCAGGAATGCTGTGATATAAGATGACTAGTGATGTCCCGAACTGTTCGCTGAACTGTTCGCGAACGGTTCGCCACGGTTCGCCAAGAACTCCGGTCAGCAGACACATTCCAGCTCATCAGCAGCAGACCCTCCCTCCCAGACCCTCCCAGCTCCTGGACAGCATCCATTTTGAAGCTGCATTCTTAGTGAGCTGTCCAGGAGGTGGGAGGGTCTGGGAGGGAGGGTCTGCTGCTGATTGGCTGGAATGTGTCTGCTGACTGGAGTCTGCGGCGAACCGCGGCGAACCATTCGGCGAACAGTTCGGGACATCACTAAAGATGACATATCACGATTTGCCTAGCTCAATGCCTGAAGTGGTTACATTTGTTAGTATTGTGCGTTATAGATGCATTTATTATCTACAGACAGGCTAAAGGGACAATATAGTCACCCAGACCATTTAATCTCAACGCTTTCAACGCTTTCCTATAGGGCAGCTTGATTGTGCGTATGGCACTCGCCACGCACATGCATCAAGTCCCTAATGTACATCTATGAGGAGCAATGCACTGGACCATGCCGCAGGAGTCCAATAGGGATAGGGTTTGTATTCCTAAAACACTATAGTGTTGCTTTTCACAATACACCTCTGTATTAAAACTTTTACACTCCAAACAAATACACACCTGACATTGTATACTAATTAAAGCAAAATATATGTGTGATGAGTAATTTTTTGGGTCTGATCAGCAGCAGAGAACTTTCCATTTTGAGCTGTGTTCATTTGAATTGTAACTGAGCACCACATTCTCACACAATCTGGAATTTATTTAAAGGAACACTATAGGGTCAGGAACACAAACATGTATTCCTGACCCTATAGTGTTAAACCCACCATTTAAGTGGCTTGTCCCCCTTCAGTCCCCTTAAAAGGATTTAAAACTCAACTTAAAGCTCGCCCCCGATCCTGAAAATGCCTCAAGGCAATGATTATACTCACCAGAACAACTACGTTAACCCCTTAAGACTGGAGGGCGTACAATTACGCCCTATTTTAGGCGGCTCTAAACGCCGCCGGGTGTAATTGTACGCGTAATTCTTTACTTACCGCGGCACGTCCGACCCCCTGGAAGCCCCCCGGCCATGTGAGAGTGGGGTCCTTGTGAGGACCCCACAATCACATGGCCGGGGGTAGCTGCCTCCTGCATTGCCAGCAGAGGGGCTGCCTGTAATGACAGGTGGTCCCCCTGCTGGATAAAAATAAAATTAAAATAAATTAATAAAAAAGTAAAGTGTAAAAAAAAATACAAATATATACTTAGATCATATATATATATATACTTTATATATATGATCTAAGTATATATATACACATATACATACACACACATACACTGTCTAGGTGTATTTTACTATTTAGATATATAATTATATATATATATTAATATCAAATTACACGTAGACTGATACTGATTAAATATATATATATATAGAATTATTGTTATATATATATTTATATATAATATAAAAAAATGAAATATGTAAATACGTTAAAAAATAAAATTAAAAAAATAATTTAGAAAAATAATTAAAAAATATATAGATGTGTGTTATTTCGTGGTAACTGTATTGTGATATTAATATATATATTTATATCAAAATACACGTAGAATGAAATAATATATATATCTACATACCTATATATAAATAAAAATATTTTAAAAAAATTATATATATATACACATAGATTCACATACGTGTATATATATATATATATATACATATATTAATTCTACATATATATTTATGTAATATTTTTACATAATTAGGTATCTTAATAAATTACAATTAGCGGGACCTGCCTGACAACCCATGCCGAAAGTAAAGGGAATTTAATTTGCTAGCACTATATTTAACCCTATAACTTTCCAAGATACCATAAAACCTGTACATACTGTTCTACTCAGGAGACTTCGCTGAATACAAATATTAGTGTTTCAAAACAGTAAAATGTATTACAACGATGATATCACCAGTAAAAGTGACGTTTTTTGCATTTTTTATGAACAAACAGCAGTTACACGGACGATATTATTGCTGTAAAACTTTTTACTGTTTTGAAACACAAATATTTGTGTTCAGCTAAGTCTCCCGAGTACAACAGTACCCCTCATGTACAGGTTTTATGGTGTTTTCAAAAGTTACAGCGTCAAATACACGGCTTGCGTTTCATTTTTTTCACATTAAAATTCGCCAGATTGGTTACGGTGCCTTTGAGACCCTATGTAGCCCAAGAATGAAAAGTACCCCTATGATGGCATACCATTTGCAATAGTAAACAACCCAAGGTATTGCAAACGGGGTATGTCCAGTCTTTTTTAGTAGCCACAAACACTGGCCAAAATTTCACACAAACAAATACTAACGCTAACTTTGGCCAGTGTTTGTGACCAAATGGCTACTAAAAAAGACTGGACATACCCCATTTGCAATACCTTGGGTTGTCTACTATTGCAAATGGAATGCCATTATGGGTGTAAATTTAATTCCTGGGCTACTATAAAGTCCCAAAGGCAACGTAACCAATCTGGCGAATTTCAATTTGAAATGTAACGTGCTATATTTGACCCTGTAACTTCCCAAAACGCCATAAAACCTGTACATAGGGGGTACTGTTTTACACGTGAGACTTTGCTGAATACAAATATGTGTATTTTATTGCAGTAAAAGCAAACAGTATTATGACATTGACAGTTAAAATGTCATGTAGAACTAAAAAAATTTAAAAAAATCTTACTTTCTCCCATTTTTTTCATATTAAATTATGTTTCATAGCTAAATATTTGATATTAAATGAAAGCCCTGTTTCTTCTGAATAAAATGATATATAATAAGGGTGGGTGCATTTACTATGAAAGAGTTGAATTACGGTTGGACAGACATGTAGTGCAAATGCCAGGTTTTGTTTACATTTTGTTTCGTTCACAACGTGTACATTTGGCTCCGTCCTTAGGGGGTTAAGCTGTAGTTTTGGTGACTATAGTGTCCCTTTAAAGTAAATAAATAAATAATAGGATTCAATCACAGTAACACTACACTAGGCACACTAGGCACTAGGGATGGCCACCAGGACCTTGGACCCGAGACCTTAATGGATACACTACACACTGTAAGTTGATGTCAAATAGCCCCACCCTCTCTCTTCCGATTGGCCCAGGGGATCTGGCCTCCTTAACAGCATTATAGGTCACCTATCTAACGACTTGAAAATGGAAATAATTGATAAAATTAAGCTTATATTTATTGGTATCTCCAACAAAACCAGTGTTTAAACATTAAAAAGCATTATATACAGCAGAGGTTAATCCACTGATATGTTTAGTAGGTAGGAGAGGGGGCAGCTTTCATGGACTGTTAAAAATATTAGAATAATTGTATTATAGCTTTACAGCTTCAAAAGATGATGTGTGTTGATTTTGTCTTGCTTGTGTACAATTAGTACGTATATATTGTTTTCATTAGAGTCAAGATATGTATCCTGAACATCAGGATTGCATGTATAGATAGCTGATTCTAAGCTGATCAGTCCACCGAAATGGTTTAATAAAGAGGGTCTGAAGGTTTTGAATAATCCTGTTTCATATCACGTAGAGGAGCTCCATACCATAAGACACTTACCTGAAGATACTTTATTCTGAAACGGTCCCTTGAAAAACAATATTTGTGTGTTGTATTTCCTGTTTTTGGGACATCATTAAATTGTTTTCTTTTTATGCATATATAAATACCACTTATTAACTGAACGATGTCACTTTAAAGGAACACTTTAGCCATAAGGCTATTGTCTTCCCCAACCCCTCTCCCGGTGTGGAAAGGGGTAAAAAAAAATTATAATTACCAGGGCCGTCATTAATGCAGGGCAAACAGGGCAGCTGCCCCGGGCCCTGTCCCAGCTGGGGGGCCCGAGGTAACTGCCCTGTTTGCCCTCTGCCTGCAAACTATGGGGGCCCATTGGGTGGCCCATGCACTTAGGGCCACCCAGTGGGCCTGTGTCAGCAGGGGCCCGGTCGGGCGCTGTGGTGCTTTAACAACGCGACCGGACCCTTGCTTTTTCGGCAGCACTGGGAGGAAGTGACAGCCGCACGTCACTTCCTCCCACAGAAACAAGAGCCGCGCGGGAGGAAGGAGGACCAGCTGTTCCGGAGGTGGCCAGGCCGGGAGAGCTTAACTCCCAGTCACCCCAGCCAGCCCACTGGACCCCAGGGAAGCCACCCTCCAGGAAAAGGTAAGAAACTGGAGGGTGGTTATCAAATTTTGCATGAGTGTCTGTGTGTGTATGTGTGTGTGAGTATGTATGTATGTCTGTCTGCCAGTGTGTCAGTATGTCTGTCAGTGTGTCAGTATGTGTGTATGTCTGTCAGTGTGTCAGTATGTCTGTGTGTGTGAGTCTGTCAGTGTATGTGTGGTTCTGTATGTCTGTGTTTGTCAATATGTCTGTCAGTGTCTGTGTGTATGTGTGTTTCAGTATGTCCGTCTGTGTGTATATGTGCCAGTATGTCTGTCAGTGTGTCAGTATGTCTGTGTGTGTGTGAGTCGGTCAGTGTCTGTGTGGTTCAGTATGTATGTGTGTATGTGTATTTCAGTATGGCTGTCTGTGAGTGTCAAAATGTCTGTATGTATGTGTACGTCTGTCAGTGTCTGTGTGTATGTGTGTTTCAGTATGTCTGTCTGTGTGTATGTGTGCCATAATGTCTGTATGTCTGTCAGTGTGTCAGTATGTCTATGTATGAGTCTGTCAGTGTCAATGTGGTTCTGTATGTCTGTGTGTATGTGTGTTTCAGTATGGCTGTCTGTGTGTGTCTCTGTGTCAGTACGTCTGTCAGAATGTGCCTTTGTATCTGTATGTTGTCCGTTTGTGTTTGTGTGTGTATCTATATATAGTCAGTGTGTATCTGTATGTGTCCGTGTTTGTATATGTATATCTCCATGTGTGTCAGGTTGTGTATCTGTGTATCTGTGTGTTTGTATGTGTGTCAGTGTGTGTGTCGGTGTATCTATATGTAGTCAGTGTGTGTACCTTTGTATCTGCATGTATCAGTGTTTGTATCTGTGTATCTGCATGTTTGTCAGGTTGTGTATCTGTGTTTGTGTCTGTGTCAGGGGCGGACTGACACCTCACATGGCCCTCGGGCAGTGGGTGATCAAGGGCCTACCCTCCTGGTCCTTGTACAAGGTACAAGGTTTTCTGGTCCCCTGCTATTCTTCTCCCCCTTCTTTCTGCTGCTTTTACACATATATTATGTGTAGGCTGCCCAGCACACAGAATGGCTGTGTGAGAGCCACACATCCCTGACTCCCACATCACTGAGTGCCCCCCAAAATGGCCAGATTTACTTTTAAGGGGTTAATCCAACCAAAACCTGTGTTTTAATAAACACTGTTTTTAGATGGAGTAACCCTTGCTGGCGTGCCTCCCCAGCAATTAAAATAAAGAAATAAAAAGCAAATTTAATTACACACTTCCACTGATTTTTCTTAGGACATCACAAGCAGCATCCCCCACATGTACAACCTTACTTTGGAGTCTACTTGTGGGGTTGCGTGTGTGGGGATGTTGCTAGTGATGTTGTGTTCCTGTATGTCAAAGTGTTGTTAGGATTAATCCTTTCTCTTGTTTTACCTATTGTACAGCGCTGCAGAATATGTTGGCGCTATATAAGTGATTGTAAAAGTTGTGTGTGAAGGCTGTGTGCAGTATTGCAATGGTGGGTATGCTGTTTGTGATGTGTATGTGAAGGGAGGCTGCATGTAATTTTGTATGTGTGGGGATGCTGCTTGTGGTGTGTCAATACAGTGAGGCTCCTTGTGGGTTTTTGCGTGTGTGAATGGGGCTATTTGCAGTGCATTATGTGAGTGGAGAGGGCTGGCTGTGTTGCAGTGTCTGTGGAATAGAATCTGTAGTAGGCATCTGGTGGTTACTGCGGCTATAGTGTGTGCGTGTTTGGGTAATAGAGGCTCTACTGTGTATAAGTTGGATAGTGGCTGTAGTGTGTGTAGGGGGATAAATGCTGAAATAGGTGAAGGGAGGCACAGGGGCTGTGGTGGGTGCGGGGAGGCACGGGGACTGAAGTGGGGGTGGGGCTGGACAGATTATGAGGTGGGACATAGAGGTTGTGGTGGGCGCAGGAGGGGACATAGGGGCTGTGATGGGTACTGAAAGAGATAGGGGCTATGGTAGTTGGAGGTGGCATAAGGGATGTGGTGGGAGCATAGGGGCTTGGGTGGAAACATGGATAGGTAGGTCCTGGGGTGAGTGTTGGGAGGAATGGTGGCTGAGGTGAGTGCAGAGGGGCTGAGGTGGGTGCAGGAGCAGCTGTGGTGGATGCAGACAGGGCTGAGGTGGGTGCAGGGGGAGCTGTGGTGGGTGGAGGGGGGCTGAGGTTAGTGCAGGGAGACAGGCAGCTAAGGTGGGTAAAGGGAGAGCTGAGGTGGGTGCAGGGGGAGATGTGGTGTGTGCAGAAGGAGCTGTGGTGCGTGCGGGTAGACAAGGGGCTGTTGTGGGCACAGGATGGGACATAGAGGCTGTAGTGGGCACATGGAGGGAGATAGTGGCTGTGGTGGGTACTGGAAGGCATAGGAGTTATGATAGGTGGAGGTAGCATAGGGGCTGTGGTTGGTGCATAGGGAATTAGGTGGGTACAGGGATAGGTAGATCCTGGGGTGAGTGTAAGGAGGAATGGTGGCTGAGGTAGGTGCAGGGGGAGCTGTGGTTAGTACAGTGGGGCTGAGGTGGGTGCAGGTGGAGCTGTGGTTAGTACAGGGGGACTGAGGTGGATACAGGGAGACAGGGGGCTGAGGTTGGTGCAAGGGGAGACGTGGTGTGTGGAGGAGGAGCTTAGGTGGGTACAGGGGGTTAAGGTGGGTATTGGGGGCTGCGGTGGGTACAGGGGGGCTGAGGTGGGAGCAGAGGTGGAAACAGGGGGCTGAGCTGGGGGCTGAGGTGGGTAAAGGGGGTTGAGGTGAGTACTGAGGGGCCGAGGTGGGAGCAGAGATGGGTACTGGGGGCTAAGGTGGGTACTGGGGGATGATGTGGGCTCTGAGGTGGGTACTGGAGGCTGAGGTGGGTACTGGAGGCTGAGGTGGGCACTGAGGCTGATGTGGGCACTGAGGTGGGTACTGGAGGCTGAGGTGGGCACTGAGGTGAGTACTGGGGGCTGAGAGGTGGGTACTGAGGGGCTGATGTGGGCACTGAGGTGGGTACTGGGGCTGATGTGGGCACTGGGGTGGGTACTGGGGGCTGAGGTGGGTACTGGGGGGCTGAGGTGGGCACTGAGGTGGGTACAGGGGCCTGAGGTGGGTACTAGGGGCTGATGTGGGCACTGAGGTGGGTACTGGGGCTGAGGTGGGTACTGGGGCTGAGGTGGGCACTGTGGGTACAGGGGCCTGAGGTGGGTACTGGGGCTGATGTGGGCACTGAGGTGGGTACAGGGGCCTGAGGTGGGTACTGATGTGGGCACTGAGGTGGGTACTGGGGGCTGAGGGGCACTGAGGTGGGTACTGGGGGGCTGATGTGGGCACTGGGGTGGGTACTGGGGGCTGATGTGGGCACTGAGGTGGGTACAGGGGCCTGAGGTGGGTACTGGGGGCTGATGTGGGCACTGGGGTGGGTACTGGGGGCTGAGGTGGGTACTGGGGGCTGAGGTGGGCACTGAGGTGGGTACAGGGGAGCAGAGGTGGGTGCAGGGAGACAGGGGGTGCTGAGCTGAATAAAAATTAGCTTACCTGAGCTGTCTGCCAGGCTGCTGCAGCTCCTTATCCTCGGGTGCTCTTCAGGCAGTGAAGTATAAGTGGTTTTTATTGCCATTTTAGAGCTATTTATGGTTCTGTTTTGAGTATTTTATTATACGATTTATTTAAACTATTTTAAGTGTCTGGTAGGAGATCTCCTAGTACGTGTGGGCTTTTTCACCTACTATTATTCATTTAACTCTCTTAGCTTTTATGGGGGCTTTCTTTTACTAGTATAGATTTCCTACCTGTCTGTTTCTATCCCTTCTCCATCCATTTTTTCCACTCCCCAGGGTCAGTGTATTCTGCCCATTACTTGTATTAGAAAACACATGCCTTATGCTAATGTTTCGCTTTCATTGCTAAATAAATCCATACCCCCTAACAAAAGTGTCTGGTGAAGCAGGATTTCGAAGGGCGGGGTAAAAGGGTGGGCCACTGATGTGAATGACGTAACCAGAACCGCCCAAAAGGACTAACATGCCCAAAAAGATGGCGTGTCTGCACAAAGAATTAGATGGTCAGCCTGGCGTGAATGCATGTCAGGCTGCCTACCAATCATGCAGGATAACCAACCAAGGGCATACTGTGCAGACAGCACCCTGAGCTTGGCATAAATGCGTCTAATGATGCGCTATCTCTAGGCTTTATAAGCACTTGCTGGTCCACTCCTCCCCTTACCTTCTTACTGGGCAGCAGAAGCAGAAGTTCCTCTTATACAGTCTGCGACAGAGAAAAAGTGTATGTAGTGAGTGTAGAAGAAACATGCCACAGTCTTAGAGAGCATTCGCATAGTGCGCAAAGTCAGCTTTACCTTAACTAATTTCATGGTCAGTCAGTCAACACCAGTTTTGATCCCCTATACCCCACTTAAGTTCCCATATTTAAATAAGAGCATGTGAAGAGTTGTAAAAAAAAAAAAAAAACTTATGACATTTAAAAAAAAAAATCAATGGGCCTATTCCATAAGCATGGGCCTGGAGCTGCAGCTCCATCAAAGGCCGTGCCTCTTTCCAGTGCTCAGGATAACTTGACACTAGCTTCATCTCCACCTCCTGTTATGTTGGCAATGGAGGTAAAACTAATGTGCAAGCGTGGTGAGCATTGCACGCACATTAGGCCTTCTTCATAGAAAAGCATTGGATCAATGCTTTCGTATGGGGATTTTGAAGACGCTAGATGTTGTCATGAGAACATTCAGCATAGTTTCACTGAGTTACTGAGTGTGAGTTAGTTTCACTGAGTCTGTAAATGTCTGTAAATGCCATTAGAAGCATGCTTAACCTTCCAATAAAACATTTTGCATTGCAAGGCTATGGGAACAGGGACACTGCACCTAGACCACTTCAATGAGATGAAGTAGTCTGGGTGACTACAGTGTAAATTTAAGAAATTGTCCCACATTGGATTTGCATGAAACCAAAAGAAAAATATGTAAAATAGACGTGTGCAGGGAGAATAATTTCGGTTCTTCTGAAACAATTTTTGGGTCTTTTTTTAGTTCATGCTACCATTCGGCACTGCCTAATTTCCTTAACAAAAATATATTTTGGAAAGCCTTTCGTACAAGAAAAAAAAGCTGCCCGTGATTGTGATGCAATACAAAAACTGCTACAATATTGCCTGACCTAATGGCTACACAATACCAGTCATTTTTGCAATGCCATTTCTGAGTTTATTTTAAAAGAAATCCAGTTTTCAATTATATTACTCCTGCTGCAGCTGCTCCCCAGTTGGTAGAAACCATGGTAGGGACCTGTTTTTTCCCTACACTGAAAAATGATCAGCCATGCTACTGAACAAAAAAAACAAAACAAAAACCCAAACATTTCACATTACAATCACAAAAACCCTCCCCAAAAAACAGACATTGTCCCTGCCTGTAGTTCTTTCATTGCTACACTAGAGGGTGAACAGGGACTATAAAATAAATAAGGAGCTGGTTTCACAATGTCCTTCATAGTCATGAAATGAGATCACTAGAATGAAGTACAAATTATTTTTAACAAGCGCTGTTGCTGTCTATAAAGGAAAGTGACACACAGGAAAACTTGACAAATGTCATGTTTTCCTTTTGGCCTTTTGGTGATGAACAATATGTCATCTATTTGGAACATTGGATGTTCTGGAATATTCTGGATATTACATGTATGATATGTATTACACATGATTTAATATAATCATTATTATTATTATCATTATTATGATTACTCATCAGGTTCATCACAAGTGCTAAATACTTAAACTCTAACAGAGCTATTCACAAAAGTGAGAATTTAACTTGAATTCAATATTTAAGGCCAGAGTAACCAATCTATTTTAAACATACATTTGAAATTCACTTTGCCTTCTCTCTTTAGTGAATAGTAGGTCTTTCTATAAAATTTGGAAATACATAAACTCAAATTGCTATTTTATTAACGTTGTTCTTTTAAACCTCCTAACAGGCTGTGGAGAATAGTGAGAAACTTGGCCACAGGAATGTCAATATTACAGCTTAGTAAATCTCCACACGTGTTATGTTCTCCAATGTGAAGTATTTTAGTAAAAGCATTTATAGTTGTCTTAGTATTACATCATTTATTCAACATCTCCCTCAGAAAAATTTTGATTCATGGATAGAAAACAAAAAAAATATAAAAAAAATAAAACTATAGCCTTCATTTAATATTTTTAGATATGCCTTTTTTTAAATATTAAAATATCAAAATTATATCATGTATTAAAAAATATATCAATGTATTAAAAATATAAATATTAAAATATAATTAAAAATATGAAATAATTTTAAAACATTATCCATAATTATTAAATCATTTAAAAAGCATATTCAAAAATACTAAATTGAGGCCTGTACGTTTTTAAAAATGTTTTAAATGCTTCAATAGTCTTTATTATTTTTTGCTACATATTTCAGGCTTTCCTGAAGCACATTATACAATGGCATCTGAGACATGTTAATTGTTTAAGCATGACCTTTGTCACTTCTTGTACCTGTGCACATGGATTTTATTAATATCAATTCCACAGAGCTGGGGAAAATGCATAATAATAATAAATACAATATTGGCAATTAACTGGTTGTTTATCTGTCTGTGTCTGTCAGTCAATTGTTTTCATTCTTTTTACATTTTTTTTGGTTTAGTTCACAGCACTTGACAAAGATGCAGACAGACAAACAATGCATCAAATTAGGAAAAAGGGGTATTGGGTACATGTCAGAGAATAATATTTGTTTAAGTATAAGAAGCAGGAATTAAAAAGCAAAACTAATTGTATCATTTAGACAAATTAACATTTTAGGGTTTTCAGGAGTAGGTCTGTTTTAATTAACATAATCTATCATTTTGATTATTATCATGTATTCCTGTACAGTATTTATTTAGTCTTGGGTTTGCTATTTTGGAAATATCCTTCTTTTTTTTTTGATATGACATGATATGATATTGGTACATTCACTGCTAGCTTAAAGATTTAAATAATGAGTGTTTACAATGTTCTTGGTATTATATAGTCTATTGTCTCTTTCTCAAATGAAAGATGCCATGCGAACAAATGTGGCACAGTGTCAAGGAATCTTCTAATTGTATTGATGCCCAGTATGGCATGAAGCTGGCATTTATGGTTACCCTGGGGGGAAATAGTATTGAAGTATATAGTCAGGACTGTTTTAATCTGTCCTGTATGTTCTGAAACAAGTTCCCTCATTCCATTCATAGTAGAGCAGTCACCATTCCTGTGCCCTCCTCCCAACTAAGAGCTGACTGCATGTAATGTGATTCTTTGTTTTTTCATCCCGCACAGGGCAGCAGCTGGAGCTCAATCTGTACCACGGTCCCACAGAGTGCTTCCTTCACCTGGCAGCCCTAACTCCATCAGAATTCAAGACCCCCCCAGTTCTTGGGTTGCATCTTCATCCTCGTCCACACCTGGCCAGCCCAAGTTGTTACATCTGGAAAGTATCACTTCTCCCCCAGACAGCGAGGCATACTACGGGGAGACTGATAGCGACGCAGACATCCGCTCATCTTCAGGGCACCCCCAGAGTGCACAGCAGCACCACAGCCAACAACAAGCACCTCCGGAGAAGCACCGCAGAACACGTAAGAAGAGCCCCAGGTCCCCACCAGGAAGCAACCACAAAGCTGAAAACGAGCAACAATCTCTTTCCGAAATGAGTGGGTATGAGAGCGGGCCTGGTGGTGTTACTGAATGTGTTGTACAGTCAACAGGTGGGGTGGCCAAAAGAGAAATCACTTATCAGCCAGGAGGTAGCAGAGCTGAAACCCCCTTCTCAGATGTGGAAGGGTTTCTGCCAGCAGAAGAAGAGCAGCAAATGTCCAACATCACTGCTCCATCACCTGAGTCTTTACTCCTGCCCCATGCCACCAAGACCATCAAAGCTGAAAGACATCTCATCCCTATGATCGGACCAGTGGAACACCCTGTTGATGATGATCTGACAACTACTTACTTGGAAAAAGCAAGGGAAGCAAGTAAGTACTAGCTCAAAGCTAATGCTCTTTGGTTCCCAAAATATATGGCAGACACCTTATATAGCAGGAGATATCCTTCACTGTATTATTTACTTGTAGCCGTTTTAGCATTAATGTGGCAAGTGTCCGGAATATTTGCAAGTGGTTGGGATACCCTGTGGAATAATTAAAGTTCTTTCCTTACATATATGCTCTGTGGTACTGAGCAGAATATCATCAGCTTTGACAGGGATATGATCTGGCTCCTGTGGTCCCTCTATTTTTACTCCAGTCTAGCTTAGATTTCAGCAATCAGCCAGGGAAAAGATAATCCTTCCAATGGCAATATATAGCTTTAACACCTTACTATCAATTTAAGTATCTTCATTTGCTTTAATCCACCAACTTATTGGCCTCCAATTTATAAAAGAGACATGGCTAACAAAACAGTTATTTATTTCAAGTATCAGCACCAGCAATTTGTCACTTATAGTACTTTGCAGTTGTGTTTAAATTTGTGGATAGATAACAGAAAACATGTGCCATGTAATGTAACTTTTTCACAGGGTGTAAATTCATCTTTAATGGTGCAATAAGAGAATAAAACCCCAAAATACAACATCTGCATTACGAATCCCAAAAACCTAAATATGTATGGTAAAATGCAATACACACACACACACACACACATTCATACACTGTAGACTAGGAATGTCAGACATTGGCCCTCCAGCTGGAGTGGGCTATGGTTTCCATAATTCCATAATTCTCTGTAGCCTTGGAACTGAGAGTTGAAGGTCCACATTTTGACACTCTAGTTATAGGAACATTGCAGCAAGAGTATTTTTAGAGCCATGATGCACCATTGAATGTAATCTCCCTGTACATATAGCATTTATCAACTATTTGACATTATTTCCTTGGTCTAGTGGTTGCATTGCAAGGTGTGTGCATTTTTTCGGTGTTCACACCTTTCTCGCACAACTGTCATGAGTGTGCTGAAAAAGTACAACATGCAGAGTAAAGACAGAGGCATTCCAGGTATGACAGACAGGTGTGTTAACTGGAGATATGTGTGTGTACCCAAAAAATGCTTACACCTCTCATCTACATGTCAAATGTCTGATCCCATACCCCATGGCATTCTATAAACAAGATAACCCCAATATCGTGCATTTTAAAAAAAAAATACTCTTTATTGAAATTTCTTTTCCTTATTTTAATACGATCACAATCAATGACATACAATACACAGTTATTTAATACATACTATACAATTGACAAACTGACAAAAACATTTAAAAAACATACTTTTGGTTAGCCTAGCGAAAGAACAGGACATTCATTCGTAAAAGTGCCTCTCTTTTCTCTTTATCTCTGAATCTTTCTTATGTACAGAAATGTTCTTTTATTAGGGTAAGTGTTTTTTGTAAACATGCTTCTCTAAATGATTTATTTTTGGATGATATATTAGCTATCCAACCCACCCCCATCTCCATTCTTAATTGCAAAACCGGTTGGGTTTTCCATTGGGAATACGTTGTTATTTTGTTGTTTCCAATTTCTAGCCAGGAGAGTTTTTGCTGCTATTAAGCTATGTATGGTTATATATTGTTGTTCCCTTGTCATAGTTGGCAAAAAACAAATGTAATAATACTGACTGGAGAGATCTAAGTATATCTCTTTCTCATAACTTAAATAGAAATTCGAACACCCAGTTCCATAGTTTCTTGATATTTGGACAGCTTCACCACACATGAATATAATTGCCAACTGATACATTGCATCTCCAACATACATTTGAGATGTTACTATCTATGTTAACCTTTCTTGTTGGAACTAGGTACCATCTGTTTGCTACCATATAGAAGTTTCAAACGATGCAAGGTTATGTATGTTTTAATTGACTTTGTTTTGTGCACTGTAATATCGTGCATGTTTTTACCATTTACCTAGAATATCTCAGAAGGGCAAGATATGGATCCTGAATTGGAATAGTTACCTTGTGCTAGGGTCGGTATCAGAAACCTTTGGCATTCCAGATGTTATGGACTACCTCTCCCATAATGCTCTAACAACCACAATGCTGGCAAAGCATCAGGGGAGATGTAGTCTACAACGTCTGGAGTGCCGAGCCTACCCCTGACTAGGGGTACTCTAGTCACTTGAAAAATAAAAATTTCCAGCTTACTAGAGTTGGAAATATTTTTCCATCTTTAGTATTTTGACATAAATGTTGCAATTAACTTGTCCACATGACTGAAGTATGTAAAATAAACACCACATTACATAAAGTCCAACACATATCAATAACAGGAGTTGGATTATCTTTACTCTGCTTAATAAATAGTAATTCCTCCATTGACGTCTATGGGAAAATAGCTATTTAACAAAGTTAATACTCTGATACTCAGTTAACAGAATCCAGCCCCAGAATTTTTTGTGTTCTAGTGTTTTTGCTGAAAATCAGATACAGAGTAGCTAGCAATTAGCAACGTATAGGTTTCTTTGTACTGTGGGTCTTAAAGGAAAACTTGACAGGGCACTTCTAGCACCATAACCACTAAAAAAAGCTTATGGTACTTGAAGTGAATTCTTCCCTAAAAACATTTTCTTAGATGTGTCTACTAGTGAATAGTCCAAACTTTAAAACAGAGACTAACATTTTATTAATCACTTAACTAATCATGTTTTTACTTTCAATTTTATTTGTAACAATACAAAACATAACTTAGTCCATAAGACTCCACTTAACTTCTTTTATACCCCAGGAATTATTTTCACCCTGGGGGAAAAAATCTCTGGTAGGGCTCCATTTTGTCTCTCTGAATATCTGCAAATAAATGGAAAATGTGAGTCTCCTCCTGCCTTGCAATTAAGTTTCAAAGAATAAAACTTTATTAATGCTTTTAAACAGAGAAGGCTCAGAAGTCACTGAGAGCAATACAGATATTATGCTACATTAATCTTACTACATTAAGTTGTACATTTCTACATTTTACAAATACATTATTTAAATGTATTTACTGAATATAGGTACTAGGCTCAATTGTAGATATATTTTTTTATTTGGTTACCATTTTTAGAAATCTGCAGTACTAATTATGTCATCAAGGTTATTTGGCCATTTTTGTTTATCTATTTTATCATACCTACTCTGCATGCATTTTTACTTTTATACAGCTATGTCAGGCCCTGTGTGAAATATTGCAAGAAGAATAATGAATACCATATAGCTTCTTAAACTTTTTCGGCCTCCAAATAATTTCAGTTCTCTTCACAGTCTCTTCACAGTCCTGTCTTAGACATTTGTGCATTAGGGGTTTAGCAATGTAGAAGTAACACTATTTTATAATAAGCATAACAAAAATTATTATGTTAATTATGTGAGCTAGGTTTTTTTGTTCACATGATTTACTTTTTCTTATTTCTTTGGCTGACCGAGTAGAAGAAATACATGTACATATTTTGTAGATAGACATGCTAGGTGTTAGCAGCGCTGTGGCTTCTGGTACAATTGAGCTGCAGAATACCTAAATGTACTAGGGACATGATGTAAGCAATTTGCTGGCAATTAGCACATTTACTTTGCAAGTGTGCCAGTTATGCATACATGATTCTGCTGGATGGAACAATAGCTTTAAACTCATATATGTATAATTTTGGTTGGTAAGCGATTAATAAGGTTATTTACATTCACAGCAGTAACCACAGTCTAAGTACCAAGTTGCAGATTCAGTTAAAGGTGCACACCACTGCCTCTCCCCCCCCCCACAACCCACCTAAATAAATTACAGTTTAGGATCACTCCACACACATAAAGCACTTTTTCATTTAGTCTAAATTGCAGGTTTCAGTAAATATTTTTTTACAGTTAACTATGTTACACCCCCCTATCTGTCAATCAGTGGAGCTGAACTCAAGAGGAAGCAATTACCTAGAGCACCTTCCTTACAAAGACTTTTCACTGAGCTGCATTGGGAAGTGTCTCATTGGACAGCTACATAAAGTGTGGATCTGCAGCTTTTGCATGCTGTTTTTAGATATGCACCCAATAAAAAAAATGCATAATTACAGGAATGCACATTTTCATTGTGGGTATATCTGCTAAATAGTGATTTTGAAATTTATTTATTTTTCAATTTGGTCAGTGGAGTGTTCCTCTAACTGCCTTGTTTCTTTTATGTAAAATATATCTAAACACTTCATGAATCAGAATGTTCAAATCATCAGAGATGATGAGACATCATGACCATGCACAAGGAATGTTCACAGATGTTAAAAGAATGCAGCAATAATGCATAGAAATCTTACTAATTATTTCTTGTGCAGTCGTTCACCTCCTGCTGTCCCCATATACAATCAGATTGCCTTTAGCTGGTAGGGACATTTCGAAACATGTTACTGTACTTCGGGCTTTTATTTTGCTTGAAGGTCCTACAGCCAAACACTGTCAGAAAATTTTGGCACTTATAGCTAAACATCACCTTGGGGGCAACGGTTGAGGACCCTTGATTTAGACTATTTTCTATTGAAACACACTTTTTTGTCATTAAAATTTGATAGCTATATCACCCAAGAAATGAAGTGTCAAGATTAGATCATCTGCTGTGTTTCTGATTCTAATATAAACAGAGTTATTTTAGTGTGCGTTTCTGGCCTAAAAATGTAAATTCATGTTGAATTTTCAACAATTCTCACTTTAGTGAACAACCCTGAAGATGTTTGTTTCATGTAGCTGTCTTATGGTTATACAGGGTTATTCAATAAAGATTGTTAATTCAAAGTGAATTTCGAATTTAACATCAAAATAGCCAAACTGGAAACATTCTGGAAGTCAACTCAGTTTAGCTACTCTGGCCTTAAATTTGAAATTCATATGACAATTTCTACAAAATGTATTTTTTTAAGTAAAAAAAAAAAATTATCGAAAGTAACAAAGTTGCAATTTATTAACAATAGAAAAAACAAATGATAATAGATGATAATAAGTGATAATAGAGGTAAAAAGCTAATTTTTAGTATAAAGTAATAGCACATGACAAAAGGACTCAAGACAGAAGAATTCTTCTTAAAATTATGATGGTGTTGAAGGGTTTAAACAATTTCATAAAAATAAATAATTTTAATAACCAGAAAGGACAGATTTAACATTTTACTGTGTCATGACTGTACACAGTTTATAATTACTCAACAGAACTAATTTTATTGACCTCAGATGGATAAAGAGCTGAGCTGGCCTTTCTATACCCTTAACTAATAATATACTAGTTCAAAATCAATTTTATATTTCCCAATATGCCAAGATCCAGTTGAGCAATTTTGATTTAGGAGCACTACTCTGCCATCCCTGATTATTACAGAATGCTTTAAAGGGATACAAAGCTGTATTCATGACACTATAGCTCCCTCTGCCTCCCCCTCCATCGCACCCGACCTCCCCCGCTGCAGTGAATAAAGGGTTAAAGCTCTTTATTTGCTTACCTGACCCCAGTGCCAAGGGATATTGGGGCTCCACCTCCTCCAATGCCACTCAAGGGCGCATTAGTGTTCTCCCCATAGGAAAGCAATAAATCAATGCCTTTCTATGGGGAAGTAGCTGATGCTGGATGTCCTCATGCAGAGTATGAGGACGTCCAACATTAGTTAGCAAACCAAAATTCCGGTAACATTCTGGAAGCGCCTCTAGTGGCTGTCTGGTAGACAGCCACTAGAGGCTGTCTTAGTACTGCAATGTAAATATTGCAGTCTCTCTAAAACTGCAATGTTTTACATTGCAGCACTAAGGGACACTCTACCCAGACCACTTCAATGAACTGCTTATAGTGTCCCTTTAAGTGCTACAGCTTCCCCATCTCAATCTCAACTTCCAATGAAAAACGCCACCTATTTCAATATTGGGGAAAACTTTTAACGCAAGTAAAATGTATTTATTGGGTTCTATTCAATGAACTGCAGATTTATAAATGTTGTTGTACAGCTACATAATAATACATTGGTGTGAATCCACCCAGAGAGACCTCTCCTTTTCTCATTTCTTAAATAGTTATTTCTTAAAGAGTAAATTGTCTCTATCAAGTGACCATGAAGATAAATGGAAAAATTAAGGTCACGCAGATCACATCAGTATTGGTAAACATAACATTGATCAAGACAGGTGGCTCAAGTTCATTAATGGTAGGTGTGCCAATAGTCAAGAAAGTCATTCCAGGCAGTAGAACACAGGACAATGCTTAAAAGAGACAGCAATCAAGACAAAATCAATAGGGGACAATGTCAGTACACAGTAAATCCTAAATGTTCCCCTTTGCGAAGCCAAGATATCTCTTTCTAAGTGCGTTATCTGGTAGACGAGGCCATCCATCTCCCGAACCTCACTGTGTAACTTCCCTTTGTAGTGTCATGCGTCAGTTGAGATCAAAAGAGTAACATAGACATTCACACTCATCATTATATATAATTGATTCTGCACACAGAATGTGCTCATGAAACATTCACACAGGTCTTTAGTTACCAGTTCTCTTTCTTGATGGAATTTAATTGCTCAGCTAGTCATATTAATAAAAGGTGGCATGGCAAATGTTAACGATGCATTAAAAGTCCTTTATTATCACGATTTGTCATACTAATCTTAGAGATAAAAAGTGAGTTTTATTAGATCCTTATTTAGGACCTGTTGATTTGATTTATTTCCCTTTCATATCTTTCTGCAGTTCTGATCTTGTAATACTTAAAGGCAGGAAGGCATTTTGTATAATTTTAATGTTTTATTAGTATGCTTTATATAAAATAATTTACACTGAGGCATTGCAGGCCTCTGACCTTTCTTACTTAAAAGAACACTCCAAACACCTAAGTCACTTTAGCTTGCTGAATTGTTTTATGCGTAAAGAGTGTGTCCTCTTTTTTCCATTTTATAAAATGCAGATTGACAATTTTATAATCTAACATGGTTACAACCCTTTTGGCTGTCAATCAGACAACCGGTCCTGCCACTTCCTGGTAGTTTAGCTCAGTGGAGCTTAATGTAAGAGTTAGGCAACTGAACATAGCACCAGCTTGGGCAAGTGTGTGATTAGAGGGATTATTAAGGCAGCAGACAAGAGATCTGTGACTTTTGCAAGCTGTTTTTAGATATAATCCTAATTTTCTTTTTTTAAAAACCCATGATTAAATGCATGCATGTTTTCATTGGGTTAGATCTACTAAATAGTGATTTCATTTTAAATTCAATTTTTGTATTTGATCAGTGGAGTGACAATTTAATGTTGCTTTAAAAGTAATGCATATGTCCCCCTCACTCTGGATTCTCAAATCTCCTCCCCCAGCCCGATTATCCTCTCATCTGTCACCTTATTATAAAAATGTAAAAATTGTATTCAACAAAACTGAAGGATCTATTTCCAAGAGCCTTTAACTGGAAGATCAGGAACTTCACATTCTGACAATCATTGCTTAGATTCCATTTGTGGTGTCTTGCATCAGTTTACATCGAAAATGGTAATGCAAGATAACATGTAACTCCTTCAATATTTGGTGGTGCGGGTTCTACTGCCCTCAGGAAACCATTCTAGGAGCACAGAGATTACATCCCGGGATCTCTCTGTGATATGTGTAAGGTAAGCCAGAGAGCAAGGGACAGGGTTATGAAACCATGTTGTGACTTACACCCTCTTTACGCCCCTCTCAGCTGTTAATTTTTTGCACCCTACGTTTGCAATGTTTTCACTAATGCCATAGATTTATTAGTAAGTCCGAGTCTTTTTCCAACTGGAAAGTGATGGAATATATCTGCTACCATGCATTTGACAGTCTTCTGAGATGGAAATTTCTTTAAAAACTGTCAGAATTTACTATAAAAAAAATCAGCACATTTTAGGTCACTTTAATAAATATGATATAGAATAATGACATCATTTAACCTTTACTTTTCAAAACACTTTGATACATGTAGGTCCATATTTACTTCGGAACATCTCCAAGCTCTCCAGCCCAGTGCCTCAAAAAATGCAAAGCCCCCTTGCTGGTAGGAGCACTTATATAATAATGCAAGTTATTGCCTGGGTTGGAGAAATAATTTTTTATGACTCTCCAGTTTAGGAATTGCAGTTTTTTTTTTTTCTAGGGAAGGCCGCGGAGCCCTCCCTAGTAATTAGAGGATCTCTAATGTTCCCTACTGATTTTTTATTTTCTATGGTTACTTATCGCCAGCCCCTGTAAAGTAGGCACTTTTTTCTTTTTGGTGGTAGGAGGCCATTTCTTGTTTTCAGATGTGCAAAACGAATGTCAACATGTTTATGTTGGGGAAATCATTAACAAAACTATAGTGAAGTGCAAAATTCATTAATCTAAAAAGAATAGTAAATAAAATAAAAATACTAAAAGATGATGTGAAAATTTATGAAAACACAAAAATATATTTTTCTTTTTTAATAAATGTTAAAATAAATCAAAATTAATAAAAAGAAACACAAAGAAGTATTGGGATTTAATATTGCAGCTCCGCTACAGAAACTACAGATGAAAACGTCCCGATGGCACCAGCACCTTTTCTACTACACCATACAACAATAACAATATATAAAATATTTGCAACGCTTTGCAGCCTTCAATATACCAAATCAATAGAATTATAAAATAGACATAGCTTAAACTATATAATCACATTATAGCATAATTGCAAAAAAAAAAAAATATATAAACAAGCATAATAAGTATAAGAGAATAAACCTAAAATAAAACATCTATTGCATAAAATGTAACAACTAAAACTCACTGAAAGGAAATACAAAAATGCAGGAACACAAATAGTGAAAGCACATTAGCAGAGATACATAGCAAAAGGGAGATAATAAATAACAGGAAAGGTCCCTTGCATTCCAATCCTCTGAATGTTACCTCAAACATGAAGCAAATGCCATCTGAGGATATGACGGAACGGGACATCTCAGTTATTTTCAGTGAATCTCCTTTAAATATTGGGGCTATTTTAAAATGCATCTTCAATGTAGCAGTTAGGGATGCAGAAACATTTTCTAGAGGTCAGGTATCAATAGACAAAAATCTTTAAGAGATCATCTAATGATCGTATAGGTTCCGGTCTCTGTTCCTAAATACCAAGATGTTTTTTTTTTAATTATGAGTTGTGGGTCCAGATAAATGAGAAATACAAAAAATAAAAATAAAAGCAAAATAGGCAATAAAAAAATGACTGCTGTTTTTTGGTATTCAATTTCACCCACAGAAAATATATTTCAGCATAAAACTCACACAGGCCAGTACAGTTCTCACTGTTGAACTAAATGTCAGTGTCAATAAGATTTTACTACTTAAATTATTTTGTTTATATGAAGTAGGTCTTCATCTCCTATTCATCAATAGGAGATGAACAATGGACAATGTTATACCCAATCGGACTAGAAAACCAAACCCTCACTATAGCAAGGGAACAACTACAGTGATATGCACGTTCGATCCCCCAATGACCGAGCCTTACACAGGATTGTACAGAGTTTGAGTCCCTGTGCCTGTCAGATGCACCCCCCCAGAGATCGATATCCCAGATATACACCTCATTGACAACTGGACGATACCTTCTTGCACCACCATGCATCAGGCGCTGGGAAGAAGACCTGGATGTAACACTCACAGACGCAGACTGATATACAATCATTACACTCACCCAGAAGACCCCAGGATCAGCGAGGCTCCAAGAAAATTCATATAAAGTATTTACGAGATGGTACATCACCCCAGCGAACCTACATGCTAGGGACAGCTCGAAACCAAACACGTGCTGGCGATGCGGAATGGAGACTGGGTCATTTCTCCACCTATGGTGGGACTGCTCCCTCATCCGGCCGTCTTGGGAAACGGTGGGTCGAGTGAGCAACGAAACTGTGGAAAAACCTAGCCACTTCAGATTATGTTATTCTATGTCTACAGGTTGTCCTAGAAAAGCTGGTTCTGCTCTGTTAGTTTATGTATTCGTCTATACCTGTAATAAAGAGTATTCGTATGCTAACAGCCGAAAGCCGCTAGCATTCATATGGTAGTTTCACGAACAGTGACTTTCCATACTGTTCGTGAAACGAACAAAGTACCGAATGGGAGCCCACACACAGGGGGTTGTGTGGCTCCCATTACCCGGGTGCAACATTGTATCAATCGGCTGCTAATTGATTTCCCAGGTGGCCGTCGTTCGGCTACCGACCACGCGGCGGCCACCATCTTGGATTTCCTTTTAGCCCAGCGGTGTTTGGTCGTCGAGTTCCTGGAACTAAAATCAGCTACTCGACGGCACGAACGCTTCCAGGCAGTTATTTATGCTGGGATCTGAGCGGTAGTTTCCCAAAGTGTGCGCTCAGACCCCAGCTATCTGCTGAACGGTTATTCGGTATAATGGCACGAATAAAATATAAGTTACATATTTTTGTGTGAAAAGTCGGTTCTGCTGTTCGGAGGGATAATTCACTTAACAAAATATACAGCAGTGCATGGTGGGAGAAATGTCCTGCATGTTCAGTTCCCCATGTAGTCCTCTACTGTACAACCCCTGTAAAGTGACTAAGGAAACCCCTTGCATGGGGAATCACATAAATACTGGAGCTTGTGAATAAAATCGTCAGTTGACTCCCAGAAATGTGTTTCGTCCGGTTACTGGGGGATTTGGGATATTGCCTTTATTTTCAGCGCTTTACTTGGATAACTTTCTGTACCAGCGGAGATATTGGGATTTAATATTGCAGCTCCGCTTCAGAAACTACAGACGAAAACGTCCCGATGGCACCAGCACCTTTTCTACTACACCATACAACAATACCCGCGCCAGCATATAAACGATCAGTGATACCGAGGCTCCTCAATGCAGCGAAAGCAACAGTCCCAATCTTCTGGAGGCAACCACGCACCCCCTCACTCAGGCGTTGGTTGGAGGAGGTGGAAGACACCCGGAAATTTGAGGACCTGAAGGCAACGACAGCGAACGCGAAAGAGAAACATATAAAGAGATGGTTCTACTGGCTAAGACACATCGCCTCAGATGACTTTGTGACGTTCTTGAATGCATCTGAACACCGGGAGGAGCACACAGGAGGCATGTGAAAGGAGACCACCTGGGGCACCGGCGGAGTGGGGTTCCCCGGAACGGGGATGGGAGATAAAGAATGACTGGATGGCTAAGATACCCAGCTGCCCTCAAGCCACCTCTGCCTCCCCTTTTTTTTTCTCTTCTGCTCCTTCTTCTTCTTCCTCTCTCTCTTTCGTCCTACCCAAGTTCCAGAAGCATGCTTCACACAAACACACCCCCTAGAGGGAGACACACATGCACGCAGACGTGCGAACATAAACAAAACCCCTACTGACTACATAACATACAATTCAGATAAGTGCACAACCCCATACGCTGCCCACCAGAACACCAAGACTCGCGACAGATGCTTCAGACCGAGACACCCAAAACCCCACCAAACGGGAGAAGAACCACAGAATACACACGCAACATACGTGGCTGCACAGCCCTTCAACTACTATGACACTACCCAGACACGCATGCACCACCATCACCACGACAGAGCCAGCCCCGCCTGGTAAGACGCAGTCATAAACCAATAAGCCATCCGTATTGAACTACGCAAATGCATCAACACTACACCGACACGATCACACTTTAAGCCCCAAAAACGCTCTCACTACCCAACGCAAATATGAACAAGTGGCAACGCTAATATCAGCACAAATATCGGCATTAGCCACCTAGATACTGGGAACAATATACTATTGCAATGGTCGCACCCGATGGCTAAACATGTACAAGTTCATACCAGAGACACAATACGCAGTGCCTCTGCGCAGGCACCAAAATGACTAAACGTGATATATATGCTATGATTACACATGTGAAATAAAAACATATTTAAAACAAACCAGCTAACACAAAGCAACTACAAAAACCAACTGACACAAAGCAACTACACAAACCAGCTAACACAAGGCAACTACACAAACCACACTAGGTTCTACCCGCCCAGACAATATGTCTTTAAGTTCTCAGAGTACACACCTGCCTAATTAAAATAATTGCACCTGTTCAGTTCACCTGTTTCAATATATACGCCTCTGCGTAGGCGACCATATGCTTTTACAGTAATATATTTGATATCCACAGTGTGATGACAATAAAAACAATTTAAAACAAAGTCAACACAACCACGGGGACAGTGTGGAGAGATGCAAGTTAAATGCTGTGAGTCTATCATTATTTTCTTGTTACACACCTCTTCATCTCTTTTCACTTATTATTGTTTATGTGTTTTGGGAAAAAATCATGAAATATGTATCTATGTTAGTAAATGTCAAAGTTCCACAAAAAAAAAAAAAAAACCCTGAAAAATAACAAAAAAACTCTGAAAAATAAAGACACATAATCACATAATCACTCTTAATCACCAGATGGATATCACAATAGACTCTTCACACAAATGTAATTGGTTGATTTACTACCAGCCAATCACAATGTAGAACTCAGTACATTGTTATTATTACTGCAAACTTAGTCCCACTTATAGATTCCTAGCCTATTTCAACTGACTATGAAGTTCTGTAAGGGATCCCAAATGAGAGGAAATAATCAGAGAGTAATTAGGGAATAATTGATGATACAGACGAGCAACTATTAATTCAGCCAAATTATGGGTCACTGAATCAGAAGCAAGAAACAGAAATAAAATGAGTCAACAGTTTAAAAAAATACGTAGAATATCCAATATGATGAGTTTACCATGCAACAAAAAAATTGTGTCAAAATAGTTGGAAAAAGTCTCAAAATATCCAAGCTGTTTAAAATGTTGTCCTCATTGCTTTAAAAAAATAAAAAGATAAACAAAAAAAAAACCGATATAATAATTTTTGAAAACCGCTGTTTTAATAAATGTAATACGTTGTAGCAATATCTCTTTATCTTCTGAATTTTATAGAACAGAATAAAAGAAATAGCGTTAAAGAACCACAAAGTGTATGTGTGCTATGTCTGCATTTCTTCCTAAAATATCATGGAGTCACCAAGGCTTCAGGCAACGGGAATGTGTAAAATTTGTCCCGCATTCTCACACCATGACACAAAAAGTAAAATGAAGTGACAAAACTGCTTACAGCAATAGGAATTATCTACCCTTGCTTCTGTGGTGGTGTTAATATCATTATAATGACTAGAACAGTTTGGTTGCATCCAGCTATTTTACGCCATTATCGCTCATTCCACCAAACTGTGTTCAAGCATCTTATTTTAACACAGTTTAGCCATCCTTCAATTTACACACAATGTGTGTGTGAGCTATTTTCTGCTGCACTAGTAACCGAGATATGCGGCATGAGATCACAACTTAGAAAGGCATCTTCAGCTGCTGTCAGCTATCTCATATTCCGGGCTTTGGTGGAGCAATCCTTCGACGTTCAAGTGTAATGAGATCATGACAATTGTGCTGCTATATGTAAGCTGCATATAGCAGATTGCATTTGATACATTTGATACAAAGGAGAGTAAATGAAACAGGTGGATTTGACCAAACAAGCAACTTTTATTGAACTTAGGTCAGTGTCCTCACCCAAATGTACAGCCATGTCATGGCACACTTACCGATACTTCAACAAGGACACCATACAGAATGTCAGGCTATGTTAAAAGACCAACAGACAAATATCACAAACTTTAAAAACATAATGCTCTTATTTTATTGGAAATATAATGTTGACATTTACTGCATTATGAATGCTTTCCTTATATTGTACGTTTTACGTATACCTCAATAAAACATTGATTTAAAAAAAAAAAGAAGGTATTTTCAAGTCTTAAGCTGAGTTGAAGACAAGCTGCAAAATTTAGGACAAGATAGAAAACCTTCTCTATCTTGGAAACTTTTTGGAAATTTTCATTTTCGGAGTTGGCAAAGGGCAGATCCACTTGTTGCAACTGCAGCTTCCATGATGTCTAGTCAATCCTACGACTGTCAAAGCTTATTGGGAGGTGCGGTTCTGCAGCAGCAGGCAATCTACCTTTTGAGAACCCCTGTTCTAATTGTCATCAGATAATATATCTATCAAGGTGAAATACCAAAATACCGGTAATTATCATTGACCACTGCTATCACCTTGTGACCAGTAAATAAATTATGATGTATTTGATACACACTATTTTACAACATAAAGGGAGTTATGTTGCTTGGAGTGTGCTTTTAACCAAATGAGAGCTTCAAATGGGGAAGCTGATATGCAAATATGGATTTGGGGTCTGTGATGCAAGAAGGGGGGAGGGATTAAAGCACATATGGAGAAGAGGGAACTGAATGAGAAGAATTGCCAGTGAAAAAGCAGATTAGAGGTTTGACCAGAAATCCTTTTCTATGATTAAAAATGATTAACATCTAAGTACGGTATGAGCACACTGTAGTGGTTATGGTGACAGCTGGATGCCAATCCCCATCTCCACTACAGTCAACAGAGAGCCAGAAACCGACGCTGCAGGGCCTAGCTGAGGAGAGCTAACAGACGCTTCTAAGCAGAAACTTCTGGCTGTCTATCAAGGTGGAGCTAGGTGCCGGGTGAACTCCAAATAAGAAGGCAAACCTTTCTAAAAATGGTTTAACTATGAAGAGGTGGGGAAGCATCAGGGCACTCTTAGCACCATAACCACTACATTGAACTGCAGTGGTTGTGGTGTTTTAAGTATTCCTTTAATTGCTACTTATCTATGTATCAACACCACAGCTAATATGTATATTATGAAAAGAATGGCACTATATCCATCAGTGCCTATAACTGCAATTTTGCATCTGTTAACACAGACCTCAATCTGATACCATGTATTATTTGCAAATTGAGGACATATGGGTTCATGTAATTATTAATAATGGGATATGTCACAGATACAAGTGGCTTACAACATAACAGCTGTGTAACTCGAGAATTAGATCACAATTACATTTTGTACATAGTTCTAAGTTCTATTTTATTATCACAGAATGTAAATGTCATCTATTAAGCATGCGATTTAGCCACATCATTACTAGTAATGCACGGTCTAGCTAAAACAGGAGAAGTATTTTTGAGAAAACAATCAGTTACAAGGTACTTGACTGACAGTTCATTGAAAGATAAATTCTGCCATACTCAAGAATTGTGAGATAAGTAGAATCAGTCTGTTTGTTTTTTAACATTACATACATTGCACACTTATAAAAAAATAGACTTTACAAAAACTATGGAAGCCTACCCTGAAAAATAAAGAGAAATTCATTAAACAATTAATAGTGGACAAGCCATAAATCTGATGAAATCAAACTAATTTAATTATGGCAGTTTAAAAATGAAAGTAGCTGATACAATAAAATATAAAATATATACTGGTACAATAAAGTAAAACAAAGTAAAGAATATAAATATTTGGCAGAACTGATAGCTTTTAATTCATTTATAAAAAGTACTAAGATTAAAGCTAAAATGTTAAATGAAAGAAAAATGGAGGGAGCATAAGACAAAGGTTTTGGACTGAACCCCTTAAGGATCAAACTTCTGGAATAAAAGGGAATCATGACATGTCACACATGTCATGTGTCCTTAAGGGGTTAAAGGACGACTGTCACCTCAAAACTACATATATGCACCTTGGGTCGGACGGTGTTTGAAACAGTAAGTCTCTATAGTCTTCCATGTTTATATGCAGGGAGAGAAGCAGAGAATATCACAGAAACAAACTTTAAATGTTGTGAGTTTTTAATCTTTATTTTGTTGTCATCTAGAATGACACAGTGTGCATGCACCAATGACTCAACACTGACAGATTATTAGCCATGTGCACACAATGTTTGAAGAAGTAGGGATGTAGGCTGAATCTTTATAAGGTACAGTAGGATCAAGGGATGGCTTATTGACAAGATTAGTCAAAATAGTCGTTTTAGACAAATCATGGTAATGGCCAACAATTGTTGATGGAGGTGGGACATAGGAGTAAAATAAGTGAGATAAAGGGATGGAAGAAGAATTGAGGGATAGAGTTGTAGGGAGAGGAAGAATGGGTGAAATTTCTTGTTACTTTAAACATTATTTCACAGGAACCTAAACCTATAAATCAAGTGTTTCTTTGAGAGAGAATCAATTCTGTTGCAAACTTCCAAACCAGCAAACTGCAGGAACATTTGATTACTATGGAGTGAGAGTTTCTTACCAGGTGCTTTGTGGGTGCTGCCATCTTGAACCACCTCATCACTTTCAGCCTCTGACACTTCAGCCGCCAGGAACCAATGTCAGCATGAGTACATCACTGAGGTCTATTGAGGATCCTGCAAGACTGCCAGAGCATTTTTTCCTTACAGCAGTCACTGATGACAGCTGGGGTAAAATACAAGTTTGACAAAAAGTAGTTCCTCCTTTTGTCAAGCTTGTCATGCATAGGACAAATAATGAGACAAAGTAAGCCTTAGCCTGGTATATCTTTTGATTGGGTTCGAATTTCAGTTAAATTGCAAATGTGAATATTTCATAAAGATAATATCATTATGAAATCCTCAATTTATGGGGGGAGGAGGGAAGGGAGGAGGGAGAGGTAGGAGAGGCTAGGAGGGTTCACAGTTTCAAGTCAAACATAGCAAACAGTGTCTTGAGAAAATGGATCAATGCCTGTATTTATATATCATTCATTTCCAGTCCCAACACATTTAAGAGTATATAAAATTGTGTAACACAGTTTATAACCTGAAACAATGTAACTGTACCACAAGATTAAGGTCTTCTGAATAACAACTATCATAATTATCAAACATAATTAAAAGGGACACTATAGTCACCAGAACAACTACAGCTTATTGTATTTGTTCTGGTGAGTATAATCATTTCCTTCGGGTTTCTTTGCAGTAAACACTGTCTTTTCATAGAAAATGCAATTTTACATTACATTTCAACATTACAGTCTAGGAATAACGCCATTGGCCACTCCTCATATGACTACTAGAGGTGTTTTCTGGGACAATGCTACACACATGTTTGTGTTTCTGATCATATAGTGTTACTTTAAAGATCATAGTAAAAGCATATTCTCCCAAAAAGTTTATTAATCTATGACAAGATTTTTAGTAGATGCCAATGGAAAAATAATGACTATTAATTATTGGAACGACTCACACATGGCTTTAAATGTATTAGTATCAATGGAGAAGGGAATGGTTGTTTGTTGACTAAACTAAATATATACAAAATAAAACATCAAGCTCTTTTTCTATATATGTTGGAACATTAATATCCAAGTGAGGTATCTGGATACGTGAACAGCAATTCTGCTCTACATTGTAGCATACTGCAGGTTACGAGCAGGACTTTTCTGTCTGTGTCACACTTCAAAGCTGCAGATTGACTCTATATGAATTATAGCTTTGCAGTTCGTAAAAGAAGGTCCTCATCAAGGTTGTGGACAGATAGTACTTCGATCCAGATATAAAAATAGAAAAGCCTGGGGAACAACCTTGTCTTGCCAAATTCCACCATTGGACCTACCACCTTTGCAGGTCAATCATTCGTTTTGAACGCACAGATATTTCTGTTTGAATTCTAGTACTTTTGTAAGTGGTTCCTCTTCTCCCATTTAATTTGTTTTTTATAATAATTAATTGTTTAATTGCAATAATAATTGTACCACTGGCCTCTGTTGCAGTTAATAAAGATAAGAAAATAGTTCTATACAAGTAGCACTCAAAGAAATATCTCAAGTACTTCCTTGTCAGAGGAGTGACACATTCTAGAGTTCCCTAGAGAACACTTTTTCGAATCGAGTTGAAAAAGATAATACCATCCTGAGAAAAGCACAGCTAAAATGTGTAGTGCCATATTTAGTCTGGGACTGATTATTTTATTGGTTAGTCAGTTGCTGAGTTATTCAGGAGCTGGAAAAAGACTAAGTTGTCCATTGGTTTCTATGCAACTTATGAAATAAAACTACTCTTTGGGAAAATATGGTTTCCTCCAATTCTGTAGCTGTTCTGATGTTTAGTAAATAAACCGTTATGACAAATCAGAAATCAGAAACATGAACATGTGAACAACATCATAATGTATTACTAAATCGCCAAACAGCCATAATTTGTGGTGTTGTACATTGGTTTATTTAACACACAGCTCAATAATGACATTGCACATTTAGACATATCAGAATGCCAAAACTCTCAAGACTTCAGATTAGTTTAAATAAAAGCTGATATCATTTTCAGAAAATATGTTGGACCTTATTTGGATGAACCAATACACAGTGGGGCTAGCAAGTTGAGTGGGGGGAGAAAGGTGGGCAATTGCCCCCCAGGCCCCACGTTTACAGAGGTTGTGGTCTGGAGTCTTGTGCTGTTCTTCTGCAGATAAAAATAGCAGATGGTGTATTGGGATGTTTGTTGGCTCAGTACAGAAGAAGTGAGACCGCAGGAAATACTTGCCTTTGCCTAGCCTTTGCTAGATAAATCATGTAGGGATTTGTGCATGGGCTGGTGGCCATGACTATAGTATCTGCCGCCGACCAGGCGGCCTGACTGTGATGAGTATGTAGTATTGCCCTGGATTTGTTTGGAAGTGAATGCAGGGTGTGATGTGTCAGTGCTTTGACATTGGAAGCTCAAGAAACAGAGTATCCATCACTACCCATATAGTACAGGCTCCAAGTAGCTAGGACCACCCGCACACAGAGATCTGTGAGTTACTTTCACAAAAGGCCTTTTATTTCTACTTGACCCAGACCAAAAGTTGCCAGCCTTCCCCTGAACTGGTACGTTAATTGACGTAACTTACAGAAGTGATACATTGTAAATTCTCTGTCCTACATTGTCCTCATTTAGTTTAGAATTGTCTCATCATAAGGTCAAACACCTTACTTGATGATAGTCACTCGCTGATATGTGAGATTTAAATTATTCAGTCTTTCATATTATATACCTTGTATAACCTAAAGTTATGTGGGTAGTTTGTCAATTATTTAATTTCACAAATGGAGGCTATTTGCATGGTGACACGTTCTATAGTGTTAGTTGACAAAACTACGATGTAAATATTTTTCCATGGATTTTCTTCAATCTTTAAAATAACATATAAAGTAAAGATTGCACATAAAGTCATTCAATGTATAGTTAAACAGATTAAAATTTTTTAAAGAAAGCCTTTTTTAAATGTCCTTTCAGTAGCATTTTACCATGAAACTGTGTCTAATCTGTTGTACTGGAAAATGGACAAACTGGTAAGTTATCAATTATATTCATAACACGAATTCTTTCGATATTATGGGGAATATCCGTGTTAATTCAGTTATTAAATCTTGAAATATATGTAACCTGTTTTTGGTGCCCCAGTCCACTGGAAGGGGTCTGGTCTATGTGGCACTTACTCTTTGTTAGTTAAAAAGAAAGTAATAAAGACTCAGTTGTAAGCACAATCTTGAATTAGATTATGTCACCTGTATCCCATCTCATCAACAACTGGTTATACCACATATCATGCCCGTACATATCTTGCCAAAACTGTCTAACTTTATTATAGACTCTCTCCTTATTGACTTTCTGATACTTGTCAGCATATCCTTTTCTTGATTCCTTGGCTTTGTACCTGCTTTTATTATTAGTTTTCCCTTTGCTTATCCTCTACTATTCATGCTTCTCTTTTATTTTATTTTTTGGCATGTTTTGTATACCTTTTTTACAGTCTAGAGGTTTTTTTTTTTTTTTTACCTCTTTTACAACCAAGGTGGGACATGCTAATGATCCGTAGTAAACCTTTCAGTTTTGCTCCAGTTATGTCTCCTATCTGTTTTACCTTATTTATTGTTGGTATACACAGAGTTAACCTTACTTCAATTAATATTATTTCTGCTCTAGAATATTATCTCCATTATTTTTCCTTAATTTCAGGCAGTAAAAATAAATATTTAACCCCTTAAGGACCAAACTTCTGTAATAAAAGTGAATCATGTCATGTCACACATGTCATGTGTCCTCAAGGGGTTAAGGGTCATATTGGTCACCAAAACAACTAAGGGTCATATTGGTCACCAACTCAGTGGTCAATTATCTGCTATTTATTACAGCACCAAATGTATTCAATTATTTTCCCATAAGCCCAAAAGGCACATTTACAGTAAAACATAGATCAAGCTTCCTCATAGTTGTTGACAACAGGACTGTAAAAGAGTCTTGGACAGGTGGACTTCAATCTGATGACCAAATCTATCAGTTTTTATCTGAAACTGAGGATTTGAGATCTACCCATAGATAGCAAGCATGTTTGAACCAGGCCTTCATCTCTCACATAGCGCTGCAGAATATGTTTGCGCTATACAAATGCTAATAATAATAACCATGTATCTCAACCCAGGAGTTTTACCTTTGTCTAGATCAGTGGTTCCCAAACTAGTCCTCATGTACAGTCCAGGTTTTGTCAGAATCTCCAAAGGACTGGTTTAAGAACCACTGGTGTAGGTGGCGGATACCCGAATCTCATCATATGTGTCAGCTGCACATGAACACCTCACCAGAGCTGACCGCAACCACTACCCAAAATGGTGTATCTGCTGGAGAACATATAAGAATTCTTCAGAACATGTATAGCTTAAAGAGTACTTGTCATGCTATGGTACAATTGCCATTACTGAATTTCTCTTCTGATTTTATGCATTGTGGTAGCCAGATCGCTACAAATGTAAAGATTGCTAAATCACAGTCACCATTCCTCAGGCAGGCAGGCAGTTGACTCTATGCTTTGTCTTAGTACAAACCTACACCCACAACCTGAGCCGGCGCTTCAACTTGAGAAAAGAACAGAGTGACGTCTAACATCACTCCGTTCAACAGGCTGATGTGCTGACAATGATGACAAAACATCAGTGTCATTAGGGAGCTGTTTGTTTTTATCCCACACCCTTCACTAAATCCATAACACCCCACACTGTAGTATTTTGACTAATTTAAAGGAAGTAGGTACTAATTTTGTATTGACTAATATTGCATTGTGCGATAATAAATTAATAATCAGATAACACACCCACACATATTGGTTTTATCCATCTATATGTATATGGTACCAGTCGCATAATGATTTATATTGTATATAAATCTTTTATTGAAGAAAGGATATCAACTGTCATGTTCTATTTGTAAGAAATCTTTGCCTTTGGTACGCAATCTTCCTACATGCCTTTCTCCATCTATTTTTAATGACAATTTCCTGGTAAGGAAGTACACAGCTTAATCTTCAACATTCTGCAGAACTCAGAGACAGGCAAGGGGCAACACATTTTAGAGCTAGATTGTATTTAAATAGATACAATAGAGTGATATAACAATCATAAGCCAACACAAGTTATGTCTTTTTATTGCCTTTGTGGATTCATACATTCATCTTAGTTTTGTATTTAGGTGTATAGGTTTCTTTATTTTGGTGATACGTTTGGTTTAAACATATTTCTTTCCACATTCTCGTAACTTTCAGTTCCGCCAACATATTTTTCCGCTTTGTACTTGACTGACAATGAGGGTTGTGACTTTGTATAGCAGGATCTTTATGGAGAAGAATGGCATTTTAAGTGCATTGACCTTATGTTTCCAGATTGGAATATATATCATTCTTTCAGACTCAAATTGCAAGGGGGGGTGGGATTGTGGCTGGGAAAAAAATATGTTTTTTTTCTGTTTCGATCGTAGGAACATAGCTTCAGTGACAGGTGACAATGTCCATAACGTGGCCCAGTGATAAGCCAGGGCCAGTAAAAATAGACTGGATGATCTCATCAGCTTCTGAGAGCCGATGTACCCTACTGCAATGCCAAGGAAGACAAAAGTAGAGATTTAAAAAGGCTAGCAGAAAGGGCAGCGGAGAGCTCGGGAGATTTTCATATTTTGGTTTGGCTCCAGCTTGGAGTTGATTTATTCTCGTCCTATCTTTATGGAACATTGTGTCTTTAATGGTGACTGTGTCATGCCTGATTCACCTGTATCTTCCTACCACAGCACAGATAATCTCTACGCAGGTAATCTGTTCCTTCTGAGGGTTGCTAATTCTGAAGTTGAATGCTATTTTTATGAAGCTGTTCCTATTTATTTTTTAAAATATAGTAGTGCATTTTAATATAACAATTATGTGTTAATTAACTAGAGAGATATTTTAAACTGTTTACGAAGGTAAAAGCTATTTTAAAACGTAACGATACATAATTTATACTTTTAGCAGATTGAAATGTATATATATATATATATATATATATATATATATATATATATATATATATATATATATAAACTGGTTGAACTTGATGGACTTTTTCAACCTAGAGTACTATCTATGTTACTATATTCTGCAAATCCGTAATACAAAGATTAAAGTTTATATATATCGTAACAAGAAATATGTGCATTTATTATAAAGAGGAGTTCCCGAAGCAATATTCTAAGACTTATATTTTCATCTGCAACATTCCATTGGTTTCCATGACAATTGAACCACTAATTGAAAACTGCCTTGATTGTTTTTAGATGTTTATATGTTTAAAGTGGGTTTTCTGGTTTTATTCTCTGAGTACCCTAAGTATTCAATATAGAATGTATTGTCCTATTAAAATGACATACGCACAATGTACCCGACCATCCATTAATAAATTACATTAATTAATACTGTAATCAGTAAAGATCTTTATTTATGTACCATAATTGTATTGTGCTTTTTTTCCTTTGTTTTGGTATTTGCTAGATAGATGGATAGATAGATAGATTGATTATATACTTTATATATTATAATATTTTCCACTTGTAGGTAATTAAATGTTTTTGATCATACTTTTCATTTTGTAGCTGCTGTCGAGAGTAGAGTTGAGAGAAAAAAGAAATCTTTTCTCCATAGAAACAGTTTTTTACTTATAAATAGAAATGTGAATATATTGTTGCACTTTTTGATTTATTTTATAGCTTAACTTTAAATTAATATTAAGTCGAGATCAAAAGTCTGTTTTAGTTCTAAATAAGAAAAGCTAAATACTATATGTCTGTTGGTTTGTCTGTCTATGTATCCCAACCACTTATTTCAATTGCAAACTTAGTGTTTTCAAGATAAGCACACGTTGATTTAGTTGACAAGACAGGCATAACCAATCTATAACGTGAAAAATATGCAATTGCAGAAAATTGTGATTATTCATATTTAGAAAATATATCTGCTGTACGTAATACTTAAATGAGGAAATTAATAGTTAAATGACATAATATAAAATGGTTACAGTAATGAATATCTAAATGCAATTGGTCCAATGGTATGATTGACAATTCCTTTATTTATTTATTTTTCACAGAGCTCCACCGTAGTGAGAGTGTACAGGAAAAAAACGTAAAAGAGGCTAGAACTAAATGCCGAACTATTGCATCTTTGCTGACAGATGCACCAAACCCCCACTCCAAGGGGGTTCTTATGTTTAAAAAGAGACGACAGAGAGCAAAGAAATATACTCTAGTGAGTTACGGAAGTGTGGACGAAGACCGATACATTGAGGACGAGGAAGGTGTCTTCCCAACAAGTGAATCAGAATTTGATGAGGAAGGTTTCTCTGATGCTCGTAGTCTAACTAATCACTCGGACTGGGATAGCACCTATTTGGATATTGAAAAGCCTAAAATGGAACATGAACAACAGGAGGAAAAAGGTCTGAGCGAAGCATCAGGGAAGGGAGCTGCATTATTTGAGATGCAAAGACAGAGATCTGAACAGTTTTCTGTTGATAACCCTCCACCACAAAATCCTCAGGAAAATCATAAACCAACACCGATTCCACCACAAAGAAGGTCAAGCAGTGGAAATGCTCGTAATGTAGAACGTAGAAGCCAAGAGATCGGTGGTTCAGAGAGCACCAAAGTAGCTAGTACAAATATATCATTATCACCTCCTCAGCCTACACAGCCAGGAACTAGTGATGGAACTGGCATCTTTAACAGATCAGCAAGGCCATTTACTCCAGGTCAAGTTGGGCAGCGCTCAATGGCTTCATCAGTTATATTCAATCCTATTACCCCTAAAAAAGTAAGCGAGTGTTCATCTGTGCCAATTGCAGCACCTTCACCATTTGCTCATTTCTCTCCTGCAATTCCTTCAAGCCCTGCAATTCCTTTGAGTCCTCAAAGAGTTCCTGGAGGTGCTATTACATCACTTTATATACCAGCACCTGTAAAACCCACTGTGTCATCAACACCTCCAGATGTAGGTGGTGAAAAAGATTTACAGAATTCTCCAACTTTTGTTACACCAAGAACGACTACTGCTTCAATATATCTCTCATCTCCATCACGCCCATCAGAACCTCAAACAGTAACTTCACAGCCAAATATAACAAAATTAGTGGGTCCCACTACAGTAACTCCATTGACCCCACCAGTATCACAGTTGTTTAGTCCAGCATCTAGTGTGCAGCATGACACACCATCTTACACCCCCGTAAGCCTTGCAAATACATCATCAGAAACTGTGACATCAAGAGAACAGAAAATTTCTGTGCCGTTTGGACGTACAGGCATCTTGAATGAGGCTCGAAAAAGAGGTGGCAGGAAACAGATGTTTGCCAAAGTGGAGGAGAAGAAGTGTTTACCTAATCCAGATCTTATGTCCATGGTGCAGAACTTAGATGAGAAACCTAAGCAAGATCAACCTGGAGCAGGGTTTGAATCTGGACCTGAAGAAGACTTTCTCAGTCTAGGAGCAGAGGCATGTAATTTTATGCAGTCTGCTGGACGAAAGTTGAAAGTTCCTCCCCCAGTGGCACCTAAACCCTATTTAAAAGCAGATGAACTTGTGAATGGTACCCATGATATGCCTCAACTGAAGGGTAAAGGTGCTGAATTGTTTGCTAAACGACAAAGCCGTATGGATAAGTTTGTAGTAGAGTCAACCCCTAGGTCTAGCTCCAAACCTAATTCCCGACCTAGAACACCATCCCCAACGCCTTCACTACCCTCTTCCTGGAAATACTCATCTAATATTCGTGCACCACCACCTATTGCTTACAATCCACTATATTCTCCATTTTATCCCTTAGCAGCATGCAAATCTCAGCCTGGGAAAGCGGACAGCAAAGTAAAAAAAACTCCTGGCAATAAACCAAGAATGCAAGCAATTGATTTCATGCGTCATCAACCATACCAGCTAAATTCCGCAATGTTCTGTTTTGGTGATTCTTCTAATACTGCAAATCAAACTCAATCAAGTCAAAACACCACAAAATCTAGTTTGCCTGGTACTCCAGCTAGGCAAGTACCTGTAAAAACTGTACGAGCTCATGATATAAAGCGCTTCTCAACTCCAACTCCCATGTCATCTTCAGCCAACATGAAACCCACTGTGCTTGCCCCTCGTTCTGCAACTACTCTTGCTGAGCCAGTGTGGAGAACAGAGATGAGCACTCAACATGTGCCCTCAACACCTACAGTTCCAATGCCTTACCAACCACCCACCCAGGATAATGTGCAGAATTCTACCACTTCTTTTAATCGAGCTTCTGCTGTTTTTAGTCCCACTAGTTTTATCACTTCACCTAGAGCATCAGTTTCCAGGATCCAGGTCCCAAAACCAAGGTTTTGTGCCTCTAAAACTGGAATGCAGGCTAATGTATGGAGGCCGGCTAAAATCCGATATTAATCTCATAAACAAGTACCCATGGTAAGCCTCAGCTTCCAGCAAAGATATTCATGGCAATGCCATTTGCTTGATTGTTTTGTGATTTACAAAGTAGTTTTCCAATTTCCATATCCCTGAACCTCTGCTTGCTAGGCTAAGACTGTTACGTTCCAGGAGAAATGAGAAACTAAATGCACGGATGTAGTAAAATGTGAAAAGGTTTGAGAGAACAAGATGTCTCTTGATGGACCAGGTAATGAAAAGTGAAAATGGACTCTTTAGTAATGGTTTCAACAAGGATGCTGACATATTTGATTATGATGCTCTTTTGACAGATTTGTGTACAAGTAATGTAATGGTAGTCCATGAGGAACTTGCAGACAAGGGATTGACTAGAAATATGGATTTTGTGTACTGCAGCTGGTGGTTGTTGGAATTACAATATGCCAATACACTGCCCATCTTGCGATGACTTTAAGCCAACGGTCACATCCAAAGGTCACTTGGGAGTTTAATAAACATTTATAAACAAACTGTATAAAAAGCCATGTTGATGTGTTCCATTGCTGTAACCATATCTCCTTAGCCACATAAAACATGTTGCGCATGAAATTGCTTTTTCTTGGCCACAAGTCAAAGTGCTGGGAAGCTGTTTTCTCGTGTGGTGCACTGTACCAAGATTGAACTGGAACATTAACAACCTGAAGTGTGGTGTGTTTAATAAAATCCTATATGGTCACTTAGTCAGTTGAAAAAAGAAATGCATGTTTGTTTGATGTTTGCGTGAATTCACATTTTGCAATTTTAAAGGGCCAGCAGCACCTTAATATGAAATTCTCTCATGGGAAATGAGAAAATGATGTATATAAAAACTATGGAGCTATGGATTTTGGTAACTATGGAGCTTGCATATTCCATGATTTTTCTGCGAAAGGAAATATTCCATCAAAGTAGCATAACGATAGAGGAAAGAAATCACTTTGTTTAAATTAACAGCTGTATTCTCATTATCATTGGTGTATTTGGTTATCAGAATACAGAAAGATCTCATATCATGACCATTGGCCAAAAATGATAAATTGTTAATATGGTAATGCTGTATAATGGCATTCCCTTAGGAAATAAAAGAAAAGTTCCATAATATTTATATGCATATTTTAACTAATGATGCTCTTTCACATAAGTTGAATTTATGTTTTGGTTTCACTGTCCCCGTAAATACTTGTACCATCACAATCATTTTGTGTAGAAGCCACAAAGTGTATTTGATATTTATGTTTGTGTACAATGCCCATGTAGATTATTGTTAGTTAAATGCAGTAGTTTCTATTTTTTTCCCTTGTGCATCCCGAATTGTGCGTTTGTGACAATGTATTTGTGTGTATGACATTGAGCACAAAATACCTGCATAGTTTTGCCAATGTTTTAGAATTATGTAAGCAGGGTATATAACTACTTTAGTAAGTACAATTAGAAGCCAAATTCCATCATCAACATCTGGTCTTTCAAAATCCTATGCAAGCATGCTATTTGCCTCTTATTTTCATTAGCATCAGTAGTACAGTAAACTGCTGTTAACGTTAAATAAGCATGACATTCCGTGTCAGAGTAGAGAATCTAAAGATCAGTGTAGTATGTTGCTAACCAGCATGGATCTGTAAACGCTCAATCTAGGCACAATATCCATTCCATTAGGCTGCAGATACTGTCCCTTGATTTTACTGTCAGCCAATGAATGGCTTTAACACATGGATAACAATGATATTGGCAATAAGTGGAACCATCAGCAATTGACAAGTGAGACACTCTAAGCACCCTCAGAGGGACATATAGTGGTTATGGTGGTAAGACTGACACTTTAAAGTTTTATCCTAGAATGATTTTTGCATGTTTCTATGTCATGCTATTTTATACACAAACTTTCTTTCAACAAATTCTTTAATACCACAAGCCATAGATCTCATTTCGGATTACAAAATATTAAAGGATTCGGCCATTTCAGATTCTTCTTAACTTCAAGCATAGTTTTAAATTACCAAATATAAGTGGGAAAAGATGGAGAGTGCACTTGTGTGATAACCAGTGAAATAAATATTTACACTATATGTGAATGGTGAAACAGTGAATCAGTGATCATACAAATGCAAACACAAACATACCGTATAAGAGTTCTTTTTATTTGTAAAAGATACACACTTGCATAGGGAAATGTAGTTTTATAAAGTAACTGACTCAGCACATATAAGAATACATCTTAATCACATCCCACTCACATTTGCTTAAGCTTGTATATAACTGGCTCAAGTATATTTGCATAGGTGTAGTGAAGGTATTCTGGAACAGAGACTAGTTTTAAATGATATAAAATCATTATAAATCATTCTTTTGTTGAGTGTCTATATAAAAAATTATAAATTATTCAATGTGGTTTTCTTAACAGGTTTCATAGGTCATAAATAGCTAATGTGTCAAACTGCTATCACACTTTAAAAAACAAAACAAAAAAAAACATAATCTAACAAAATTTCTGTAGAAATTAGACATCTCATATCTATGCATACAGGTAAGCTATGTGCAAAACAAGCCATAACATGAGCCAAGAATATATTTAATAGATTGGAAGCAGACATATTTCATGAGCAATTATTAAAAGGCAGGGAAGATCACCAAACCTGAATTTATGCTAGTCACCATACCAATAATTAGTAATATAGCAGGTTAATATTTCATGTTCTAGAATGTTTTCCGTATCCATTTCATAGTTCTATTTTCTAAAAAGAATTTCCTTAAAGTTTATCCTGTACCAAATATATGAGCAGGAACAAACATGGGAACTAACTCTATCAGTCCAACAGGGTGTGGGTTGGAGTGCTCATTGCCGGAATAATAAATTCCATTATGTACCATCCACTGCTTACCTATTTTACTGTCTACAAAATCCTGCCTAGTCTCCTAGTCTTGGCGGTTTTCGTGTACAGGAAGAGACAGGCCAATTACCAACCAGTGTTCACAGGTATTACATTACGTATCTGCCTACAGGTTCAGCACCTATGGTTCCTATTATCCTTCCTAAAATAACTTGTCTATGGAGGTAGATTTATTTTGTTATCTGAGAAAAGGCTGCATTTTGCGATGTCACGTTTGGAAACACATATGAACTGTGGCCTATTAATTTGGAGTTACACATCTGATTCAATGAATGCAATGTTAAAATCCAAACACATTCAATGATTCATGACTGTCTTCATTAAAGCGCAAAAGGTGAGCTGCCTAGGTTCAAAATATTTCACAAGTGATTAGAGTGGCTGCCCCTTGGGTCTCACAGATGTTTTGGGACTATCCTCCCCAGGAATACAGTATCAATGACCATGATTATATGGACACAAGTAACTAGCCAAGGAATGGGTCACATTAAAGGGGGAAAAAGATTTGCATTATTTGTTCAATGTTGTATGACTTTTGCTGTGGGTAGTAGTGTTTCCATTTATTTGATAGGGCCACAAAAGTCCTATACCATTGAACACTAAAGCCAAATCTCTTTTTCTGTAATCTGATGCTCTGAGCACCTGGCAGTATCTCCAACGTTGAGCACACATATGGCTATCTACAGAAATGAATATAATGTATGGCTTTGGTTGGTTGGTGTTGCAGCTAGGACATGAATTACATCATTTTGGGGCAGTGGTGGGTAATTCGACCTGATGTTAGATGCTCAGTTTGCTGCAGCTTAACAATCCACAAGAACAAAGTCCCAGCTGCTAAGTTAAAGGATGAAGAAAAAGGATATGGTTAAAACTGCCGTTGGTGCAATGCAGGTAGGTTGAGAGACCTCTACCTATCACAGGCGGGGGCTAAGATGGTGTTTGCAGAAGGTAAGGTTTACAGAGAAAAGGAGCTGGAATTGGAAAGGATAAATGAATTGAATTAGGGACATTGAAACTGGGAGAGGGATGACATGAAGAACTGAACTGGGGATAGAAACAACCAGAGAAGAATACATAAGAATATATAAGATCTGAAATAAACAGCCGTAATGCAGGTACCAGGTCTTGACCAATAATAATTAGGATTGATTAAAGTTGTTTTGCATTTACTAAGCATGGAAATCTTTAATGTTACCCAACAGACAAAACAGTTTGGATGAAAACATGACCAAATTTGCATGTTTGTCGGGAATAACTGTTGCTTGTCAGAGAAACTGGATGCTTCTGTTTTTTGTGTGTCTTTCCAACGCACAATTTTATGTGGCAAATGGAAGATATATTAAATTTTGACCATTTATGGATGATCTGAGCTCAGCAAAGTAAATGCAGGCCACACGAAGCATCTATTTAATTGTAATCCATTTGCCATGACCACGTCTACAAACATTAATACCTAAGATCATGTTGATGGAAGCAGCTACTATTGATAAAAGCATCTTTTGTTACTAAAATTCATTCCGAGAGACCTATTCACATAATAAGACTTTTGGTTGTCTTCTGGTCCATAAGAACACTGATGGATTTGCACTGTTCAATAAAAATGTGCTCAGATGGCTTCTAGTTAGACAGTTACAATACTCTGTTGTGTTTTGCGGTTAAAATAAAGAACACAATTATGGACAAGTTTAATTAAAAGAGTTGCAACTTGCACTCACTGAGTGAGAATAAATAAAGTAAAGACTCCATTAATTACACAAGAAGAAACGTTGGGATTTATTGTTGGTTTCCAGAAAAGAAGATTCAGAAAAAAATAAAGGAAGTGACGAAACAGATCCTTTGAGAAGAATTGTACTTGGATGAGTTTTCATAGGACTGTTTAAGAGTACATATATTGGATACAAACAGCCTGTAACAGCTAATTGCCATAGTATGTTAACGATTTAAATACATTGGCAGGATTCTCTTAGCAGAGCTATGGTGTACTCTGCTTTCTGGATGGCAATGTCCCCATGGACTTCAGTGGAGGAACTGCTATTCAGTGAGCTTAGTAAATTTATAGTGCTAAGACGATCCATCCAGATGTTATAAGTGTTTCTTATTAAAGCCGGGTATATTTATGGAAAATTCATAGAATATGCACCTTTTTTTTGTGATTTGGGAGTGTATGAAATCTCTACATTTACTTTTAGCTATCAGGTCTTCCACAAGGGCTATTGGAACCCATCATCAACCCATTTTAGTTAAAACCTTTGCATTTACACAGCCAGGCTTGAGATATTCCCCTTGAATGTTTGTGCAATAAGCTGCTATCTAAGTCATCTTGCATCTGGTTAGAAAAAAAAAAAATGTAAAACTTATTTTGGAAGGTTACAATATACACTTTCCATTACAATATTTTCATTCTAGTGTGGTGCATTATATTTTGAGGCACCAGTTTGCACTCTCCATTGCAGAAGTGAAGACCTCCAAATGTGGAAAGGATTTAAATGTTTGTGTTCTCTGATGTAGACTGATTTTCAAAAAGTGAGATTTCTGGATTTCTAAAAACTAATCTTGCAATGCACAAATCCAGCTGAATAAATGAAGATGTAGGCTTTAATGCATGTTGTTTTTTGTTCCTTTCACAGCCAGATAATATCTATCCCATAAAAAAATTCACTTGCAGACCATTCTAGCCTGGAACGACTGCAGATTGTATTCCCTCGTGTGTTAATCAGTGCTGAAATTAATCACAAATTAAAGGACCATTATAGTGCCAGGAAAACATTCTCGTTTTCCTGGCACTATAGTGCCCTGAGGCTGCCCCCACCCTCAGGGTCCCACTCCCGCCGGGCTGGATGGAGAGGAAGGGGTTAAACACTAACCTTTCTCCAGCGCCGGGCTCCCTTGTGCTGGAGACTCTCCTCCTCCTTTCCCCGTCATCGGCTGAATGTGCATGCGTGGCAAGAGAGGGTTTTTTTGTTTTTTTTAAATGCGTTCAATAAACTTTTTATCTAAATCCAAGGTCGAAATTTTGAATGTTTCATTATATATATCTCAGGGTTTTATGAACACAAAAATATGGTTACTTACTGCACCCTCACATGCCTATTTTAGCTCTGGTGTTAATGTGTCTGTGGACCTATTTTGAGTTAATGTCATCGAAATGTAGAGAATTAATTAGTAACAGTCACTTTGAAATCTCAAGTAGATATATTTACACACATGGATTGGGGAAATTTGAACATAAATAGTTCAGTGTGTAACTGCTAATAAGGCATAATACAAAATTCTCAAAGGAACAATCCAAGCACCATAACTACTACAGCTCCAATGCTCCCTTCTGACTAAGTCTGAAGCCAGCCTGTAGTCATCTCTTGGTTTAGTTCAGAAACCAGCTAATTTTGACACTTGAGTACAGGCAATTTCAAGTGAGTTTTTTGTGATGTTAAAAGATTTTTTTTTTTTTTTTTTTTTTTTTTAAAGGAGGCTCACTAACCTAAACGATTAGTGATACAGCAGAGTAAAAATAAAATTGGGCAATTTTAGATAGAAGTTTTTTTTAAACAGATTTACATACTTAGGAGCAAATCTTGTGCCCATCAGTGTACTTTTCTTTTGCATATAAAAATAAATTCTTTGCATTACAAGAAATGTAGTTACTGACATAAAAACAATGCAATTATTTTTGAATTAAAAAAAACAAAACACACAAACAGTTGGAGTTACTTAACCGCCTCCATTTTTCCAGGTATATTGGATGGCCTGTCCAAAACACTGTGGAATGTAAGTTACATGTAAAATCGTGGTATATGATTGTGTTTGAAAGCACAATGTTCCGGGATTAATCCCATAACTGTATACAACTCATTTATGGGAAGTGTTGGGAAGCCATAAGCCTGGTTTTGTGCTCAAAGGTTAGCACTATAAGCCAATGTGGATATGGCATGTCATCTATTGCAGTAGAAAAATAGTGGTGAACAACCAAAAAATCTTGCATAAAATCCACATTAGTTTATTTCACCTGGTTGGGTATGAGATAAAAAACAATGATACAATCACAACATTATTTGCAAAAAAGCACGACTGTGATGTCAGCAGCTCATCAATGCGTCTATGCATATCGTTAGAAAACTTTATCAAGTTTACATATGCAATGTATGATCATATACTGCAACTACACACCCATTGTATTTGCCTAGGGGTAATGTTTAAAAAAACCAAAAAACTTTACCATGTTTTGAGCTTTAAAGTTGCTGTTTAGTGAATGAGTGAGTGCGCTGATCTTGTATGTTGTGTGTATATATATATCATAATCTGTGACTATAGTGAGTATATGCAAACATGTAAACACATGCTGGGTCAAATATAATCTTAAAAGTGGCTAAGGTAAAGAGGTTTAAGATTGGAGAGGGGTTAATTTCAGAGCTAGATTACATAGGTCATTAAGAGGATTCAAATCTTCAGAAGAGTTACAGTTGTGGTATAATGGGTCTTTAGGGGTATTGGATTTAGGGATACAGTGGGGATGAAGTTTAGTATTGGTGTATGGGGGTGTTTAGTTTAAATCTAACAATATTATTGACTAAAGTGTAGCTTTAGCATAGCTGACTTAGAAAATGTTTCTTCTTTTATCTCAAATTTAAAATTAATTTTGAATTCACACTTTAGTGAATATCCCTGTAAGATTAAGGTAAATAGTTTTTTTTTTTTTTTTTTTTCAGGTTTAAGCTTTGAGTGCTAAAATATGAATATAAGGAAAGGGTTTGTTATGGTTTTGGAGGGGGTTAATTTCAGAATTAGGGAAAAGGGTGTTTATGGTATGTGGACTTTGAAGGGTTATTGCAGAGTACTCACCCTCCTACGTCTTGTGTAATTCAGTGAGTCTCCTATGACTGATTGCACAGCTGCAGGAACTGTTATACGGTGTACATCACTCAGTGCTTCCCTGCTCCTCCTGCAAGGCATTTCCTGTATGAGAGGCTGTTAGTTGGCAGATGGAAAGTGGTACCATCCACTTCCTGTCCAGCCTCACACACAGACATTCATTGGAGTTTTACACCCCCTTAAACCATTCCTGCAACTCTGCTGTCAATAAATATATAAAGGATGGGTAAGTGCTAATAGTTCAAAAGCAGATCATCTTTGGCAGCAAACACTGAAAACAAGAATGCCTTCTATGCCCCAAAACCAAACAACAGGTTTTGCCTGATGAACAGTAGATAAATAATACATCAAGTTTTCCCCAAGTGACCTTGATTCCTATGACTTTATTCTTCTTCAGTGGGTACATGTAAAAAGCAGAGAAAAAGGACCAATAGTTTTTAATTTTTCAGAAACGTGACATCGGCTCCTGGCAGCTGAAGCACTGAAGGTGCAAGGGTAAGTAAATCATACCTTTCCCTGAGATATGTATCTTTCTTTTTTTTTTTTTAAATGCCATACATAACCCAATCTTTGTAATATCTCTCCGTTTTGGTGTCTCCATGTGTCATAGTGTCCAGAGGCATTGTCACTGTCCGCGATCTTTGCAAATTAAGCTCCAAAAAGGCACATTATAAGAGCAGAAAACAGGCACCCCCAATGCCTACACTGCCTAATGGTAAATCCAGCCCTCAGCTGAGTGAAGTTGCCAGATTATATTTTAATTAGGTGTTATTTAAATAAGCATTCTTCATTACTGTAGTTAAATACAGTCCAGAAGTATGCATTTTGCAAAGACATATCTAAGTCATGGTCAGGCAAAAAAGCATGTGACTGTGAAATTGTTTTATTGGGTAAATAAATCATAGCCATATCATGGAAACAGAAACAATAAAGGAAAATAGGTATACATAAAAATAATATTACAGTGATGTAAAAAAAAAAAAAAAACCCCAACAACAAATAAACCAGATTTTTTTTAATTTCAGGGATTGTACCTCTATCTACAACTGATAGTTTCCATATAGTATATTACAATAGACTACAATGAGGATTTCCCCTGCTGGCCAATGCAGGGCCAACGCTGGTTAAGGGTTGGCCTAGCTGTGTCCCATGACCGACTGGTGGGGAGATCAAAGATCTCCCTCACCAGCCCTCTGGCACTTTGCTGAGCAGCATTCATGGGAGAGGGGAGGGTGAGGACCCGGGAGCATTAACCTTCAGCTCCTCCAGGTTCCTCTCGCGAGGTCGGAGCGTTGCACATGTTACTATGGCATTGTTCCAATCTTGCGTGAGTGAACATTAGCCCCAGGAGCTGCTAGAGTTCACTCTCACCACTAGGACCACCAGGGCTTCACCACTGGACCACTAGGGATTACAAGCGTTATCCCCTCTCCCTGAGAAAAGGTAAGAAGGGAGGGTGGAATATAAAGTATATATTTTAAATTTTTAAAAAAAAATCAACAACCATATATATATTGCTTTAATCTGCCCCCTCACACACAATGACTCCCAATACATACACACACACACTGCACCCCACACACCACACTGACCCCCCACACACACACACTGCACACCCTCACACATATTGCAACCCCACACACACACACACATCTTAGGGTTGCCACCAGGCCAGTATTTTACCAGCACAGCTGGTATTTGAGGCCACCTGGCCGGTGCCGGTATTGCAATAATACCGACAATACAAATGCCGGTATTTTTCTCAGTATAAACTGAGATTAGTCTGCAAAACTAGTGCCGGTCAGTAAGTTGTGCTGTGTGTGGAGAGAAGCTGGAATAGGAAGTTACAACGTATCCCTGTCTCTCTCTACTCACTGACCTGCGGAGGAAGAGCTGCACAGCGAGTGCAGCCAACAGCTCAGGTAAGTGAGGGATAGAGGGGAGGCACTGAGACACTAAGGGACACTGGGAGACATGGGGATGCTGAGACACTAGGGGACATGGGACACTGAGACATGGGGACACTGAGACATGGGGACACTGAGACATGGGGACACTGAGTCATGGGGACACTGAGTCATGGGGACTCAGATGATAAGGGACACTAAGACACTAGTGGGCACTGGGAGACATGGGGACCATAAGACACTAGGGGACAATGGGGACACAGACACTGGGAGACATGTGAACACTGGGAGATATGGAGACATATGGGGACACTAAAACACTAGGGGACCCTGTGACACATGGGACACTGGGAGGCTAAGGGACACTGGAAGACATTGGGACACTATGACACATGGGGACACCAAAACGGAGAGATATTACAAAGATTGGGTTATGTATGGCATCTTTAAAAATAAAGAAAGATACATATCTGCAAAAGCCTTCTACAATCTAGCTCAATAAAAAATCTCACTTCATGGTCGCTGACTGAGAAAAAGTAGCAAAAAAGAAGGCTAAATGCTGCCAAACACCCAAGCTTGGGTTCCCTGTGACTCCCCCAATCCAACAGCTGAGTCCCCTCCAATTATGTCCACACAACTGATAGTCTAGAGTACTTAATGTTCCCCAATAAAGACTTCTTAACTAAATCACCATCGTGCAAAAAAAGTGCTATGTGAGATTAAAAGAAAAGGGAATAACAGTAAGCCGACGCACGTTTCAGCGCTACTAAAGCGCCTTCATCCGGGGCATTCGAAGGCAGACAAAAAGGTAGTGAATGACAATGCTCAATTTATGCAGTGCAGCACATAGAGGAAGTGATTTCAGATCATTTAATTTCAGCACTTGTGAATGGGAATCCACACTGGAGTAGACAGTGGTGTATTTTGGATTTGTGCTGCCCTAGGCATGACTAAATTTGGGCACCCCCAAAATCTAAATTTGCCCCCCCAATTCGTGTCAAGGCCATTTTTTTGACTGACAGACACATGCCCTCATTGAAACATGCACTGATATACACTCACTGACAGATACACAGTCATTGGCACACACATACAGTCATTGGCAAACACTGTTTAACACACACTTTCACTGACAGACATACACTAACACACCCACTCACTGACAGGCACACACTCTCAGATACACATAAAAAGGACATACACACACTGACACACACTCA